GGAACGGATTGGGGTAGGGGAAGAGAATTGGGCCTCCGGTAACCTCACTCACACGGCGAAACACAACTCTTTGGTTACTTCACGCCGGTTTTCTGTGAGACCGTGTTATCACTCCGGTCGAGCCGACCCATTCGTGCCGAATCATGGCTCTCCCACATTTCTTCTTTATCCAACTCCGAACTGAACCACACTATATGTATCGTTGCTCTAGTACCTGAAAACGTAGCTATCAGACTTTTACTGACTAAAAATCCAGTTCCACCTTCTGATTCTTAGTACTTAGTACTTACCATAAAACTACAGTAAATTATAAGTACAAGAAAGACAAATCTATATCGTCTCTGATTTCCTCCATGTTTATTAAAAGACGTGATTTTATGGTTATTATCAAAGAGATTGCGTGAAAAAACATTTTTAATTCCGAGAAAGTCATATCTTATGTAATTTTGTTGATCGGTATCTTAATGAGGAAAATCTGCAACATACATATATCGCTGAAGACTAAACTGCGACCAGCTTCCAAGGCGTAATAGCATTTAAATGTGGAAGACAAATGCTTCGACACCAATGGGTCGGCTCGACCGGATTCATACCACTCATCAGACAACACAATCATCATCGGCCTATAAGTGCCCACTGCTGAGCAAAGCCCTCTTCTCACGCGGTTAAGGTTTGAGCATTAATCACCACGCTTGCTCAAGGCGGATTGGCGATATCAAACTTATAACTAGAAATTATATGTCCAGGTTTCCTCACGATGTTTTATTTCACCGTATCTCAGTGGTGTCTTAATAATAATCAAATCAAAGAAAGAGCACGTAACTTGGAAAAAGTCACATTGGTACTTACCAGGTTCCGAAACCTCACGCATGAAAAGTGGGCGCCGTAACCTCCGGGCCACTACCGACGTTACGATTGATACCACGGCCTCACAGAAAACCGAGTTTACCGGAAGCCCAATCCATCTCCTTTCTCCACCCCTCCCTGATTCCTTAACCGTAAAATCCTAATTCCCAAAAGATCAGCAACGCACTCCAAACTCTTCTGCTGTTGCGGGCGACCATGAACACCACCGATTGCTTACCATCAGGTATTCCATCTTCTCCAACCTATCACAGTAAAAGAAACAAAAAAGCATCTTTAAGGTTTTATGTAAAAAGAGTCACACGTCGCTTGATCAACTTGGAGGTGGCAACAACCCTTCTCTACCAACTCTTAAATGGATATCTTTTATCCTTTAGTTTCAATTTTTTACATTCTTTTGCCGTGAATGTATCTAATCAGTCTGATGATGAAAATGATGTTATGACATCATCATCGTCATCATTTTATTTAAAGTATCCGTGTTTACATGGGTATATGTTACCTATATCAAACGTCATTACGTGACTTCAGTAGTGTAAGGAAAATGTCACTGTTTGACTAGTCATTTCCCAGTATTTTTTTTATTGCGCTTGCCCCGCTACCCCGGTCCAGCCCTATAGGAGGCCCTTTAAGTGTGGGAGAGCCATGCTTCGGCACGAATGGGTCGGCTCGGCCGGAGTGATACCACGGCCTCACAGAAAACCGGCGTGAAACAACCACAACGTTGTGTTTCGCCGTGTGAGTGAGGTAACCGGAGGCCCAATCCTTCCCCTACCCCAATCCCTTCCCAGTCCCAAAATCCCAATCCTTTAAATGTCGGCAACGCACTCGTAACTCCTTCTTTGTTGCGGGTGGTCATGGGCGACGCCGATTGCTTACCATCAGGTAATCCGTCTGATCGTTTGCCGTCCTATCACATAAAAAAAAATAGGAAAATAGGGACGCTACACGCCGTACGCTCGGGTCTGGTTCTTGTCGGGCGGCGAGCTACCCTTACTCGCCGTTCACAGGCCCACGCTTAGGGAGGCCGGAGTGATGACACTTATATCCTCTCACGGCGGTTTCCTACGAGGTAGTATTCGTCCGAATGAATCGGCCCTTTCTTCTACAGTCTTTATTTTAGTACTTGTATACCAAAAACTGTACCATCACATCAGATAACATTTTTATAGATGTGAGATTGCGTAACAATTTTTGTACTTTGATATTATTATCTTACGTACATGTGTTATCAGTATTTTTTGTTCGGGGAAGTACTATTGGATTTTAATATCTATGTATCTGTCTGTGTCTGTAATTTCAGTGGTATATTTTGATATGGAATTGGGTTTTTGCCTATGTCGGCAAACCAGACGGATTACCTGATGGTGAGCAATCGGTGCCGCCCATAGACACTCGGAGTACCAGAGGAGTTACTATAACTGTTGGCCACTTGTGGGTTATTAGGCATTTAATGATAGAGGATGAGGGGAAAGGATTTGGCGTACGGTAACCTCGCTTACAAGGCGAAACACAACGCCGGTTCACGCCGGTATCCTGTGAGGCCGTGTTATCACTCCGGTCGAGCCGACTCATTCATGCCGAAGCATGGCTCTCCCACACTTTACACATTATATTATAATAAAGTTATCAATTAGTTACTTACATGTAAATAAAATACAAATTTACATCTTTTTCACGCTAATTGGTAAAACTTCATCGACTGTGTTGTCCTCAGTTGGAATATAAGCCTTCTCTCCGTGATTTGGTGATTTGAAAATTGCAGTTTGAAAATGTTCAGGTTTACACCCGCCTGTCTCTTTCAATCCTGATCATTACTACAAAGTCACTACATAGTATAAGATTTCAATACAAACTAAAAAAAATCGCATTAAAATCGGGTCATCAGTTTAAGAGCTACGATGCCACAAACAGACACACAGATACGTCAAACTTATAACAAAACGTCGTTTTTGCGTCGAGGGTTAAAAATAAAGTCTCTTTCTCTTTCTCTGTCCCTATATCCATATCCCCTGTCCCTATATGTACGCTTAAATCACTAAAATTACGTAACGGATTATGGTGCGGTTAGTTTTAATAGTTAGAGTGATTAAAGAAAAAGATTTAAATGTATAAAATCATCCATTAAACAGTAAAGAAATTTGGTATCAGGTTGCAGGTTGCTAGTTGATGATAAAAGTGTTTTATTTCTATAAGTTCGGAAATATCATAATAAAAATCGTTATAACTCATTTAAATTTTATTGTTATTGTAAGTACTACATAATTAATTAGATAAGAATAATAAATATATACATTTACATAAGATATAGTAAAGATTTTTCTAGGATAAATTCACATTGAGTCTGTATGAGAGTCAGGTACTTGATAGAACATTCAACACTTAAAAAAGTTTAGAGGATAAGGGATTATGAGGGAGAGTGGGGGGCAGAAAAGTATTGGACCTTCAATTAGTCAGAAGAATGGAGGGTAGATGAAACAACTGTATCTATATTTATGTAAAAAGTGTTCGCTGAAAGTTTTGTCTCGTGGCTAACTTCAGTTTGTAAACAACTGCTGGGTGATTCTCAAATAAACCAGGGTTGTTAAGCTACGTATAGTCACTTAATATTCAATAGTTTTAATCGATTGCTTGTAAACAGTGGTGCTATTCAATTTAATAAAATTATTATTTGCTTTTTAATCTGAAGAATCGTTAATATTGGATTGAGGATCATTAGTTTTTGTTAAATTGATGTGAAGAATCATCCTGCTGCTGTATTCATTACATATAGTCCGAGGCATTCGCTCAGAGAATTATTTAAGGAATCTAAAATAATGACAGTTGCCTCTCAATATATTTATGAAAATGTAATTCACGCTCATAAAAACAAAAGCTTATTTAAGAAATATAGTGATATACATAATATCAACACGAGGGGGAAAAACAAATATGTTGTGCCTGCCTCCAGGCTTCAGAAAATAAGTAGTTCGTTTAGGTGTCAATGTATACGCTTTTACAATAAAATTCCTAGCGATATTCAAAATTTGAGCCTCAATAAATTTAAAAGTGTAATAAAGGCTAAACTTTGCTGTAAAGCATTTTATAAAATAAAAGACTACTTAGAGGATAGTCAGGCTTGGGAATGAGCCGCTGTAATGTCTGCACAGGTCATGTTGACATGTTTGTAACATAAGTTACACTTTTATATACAATTTGACATTACGTTTATTTTTTTTTTATACAATGACATGATCACCTATTGTGACATTTTTATTTTTTATTTGACATTTTTTTTTTATTTATTTGTTGACATTTTTATTATTTTATATTATTGTTAGTGTAAGGACCGTGTGAGACTTGTCGTGCTTTTTATCACCAGTCATCTGCGTTCTGACAGTTTGAGTACTTGCGCGACCCATCCAAATGTTCTTTTGATCGGTATTGTTCGTCGGACAACTCAACAGCACTAGCTATATGGTTGCAAGCTGACACTTGCGTGCCTGTCTTCAGAACGGGTCCACTTAAACTGGTGTGGTTCTTTCCTCAAAAGACCACTACAGAATGAACTTGCACGGTTCTCTCACATTATGTTATTTTATATTGTCTGGACTTGAAAAGAGACTGACCTCTGAGTTTGTTTCGGCATTTCTTCTCAGAGTAGTCAGATAGGAAATGCCGGCTTCATCTAGTTTTTCACATATAATTTGACGTGTAAAAGTGCCGTTTTAAGGCCTATTTGCAAAAATAAAAAAAAAAAAAAAAAAAAAAAAAAAAAATAGCTGCGTGTAACGCCACTCGTGGAGTACTTTTCGATTGTTATTTACTACGTACAGCTAAACCCTTTTCAAATATCTCCTTAATAAGATTATTCTCCTTCCATCTACCCTATATAGGAAGATCCTCGGTCCCTAAACAATGTAGTAGAAAAAAACGATGTTTCACAACTATACAGTTCTCGATTTCATTAGAAACACAGATAAACTTTGAGTCCAAATAATGTATCTACAAAATAATCAACATTCTATTTTGAGGAATACCAAGAATAGATACAGCGAAATTTAATTGATAATTAATTTCATTTTACATCACACATTACATTAAAATGATAAACTTGTCATATTTGACAGATCATTTAGATAGAATGACAACATAGGGTGATGAACTTTCAAAACTACAAAACGATTTTTTTTTATGGTATAATTCGGTAAACGAGCAGACGGATTACCTGATGGTAAGCAATCGGCGCCACCCATGGACAACCCGCAACACCAAAGAAGTTACGAGTGCGTTGCCGACCTTTTGGAGATAGGCGTTGTGGATATAAGGATCGGGAAGGGAAAGGGGAAGGGGCGGGATTGGGCCTCCTGTAACCTCACTCACTCAGCGAAACACAACGCTGTAGTTGTTTCACGCGGGTATTCTGTGAGGCTGTGGTATCACTCCGGTCGAGCCGACCCATTCGTGCGGAAGCTTGGCTCCCACACTTATAATAAATATCCCTTTATTACAATTTAGAAAGTGTTTTTATCTTTTTCCCTTACTTTCATGTCAGAACAAACAAATAAAATCTTTCTTTGCGTAGGATAAGATTTAAAAAAAAGATCGAACAAGGTAGAAAGCCCTGAATGATATCAAATTTTAATAAACCTCGACTCAATGTGAACTAAACCTTACATCTTTATTAATAATAATTATATTAACCTAGCTTAGCTAGAGGATCACATAATTTGACGATATTAAATTTATAACATGATATCCATTAAACACATTCAAATAAATAAATTCGCAACTAACAAGCACATTCAATAGAATACATATTTTTTATCCAATACATTTTTCGACGTTCAAATACGTGTAAATGTGATACATTTAAAAACAAACACACACGAATATATAATAAAACAACGCCAATCTATCAGTGATTAAATTATTCAGAACATCAAAAACAATCAAAAGCTTCCGTAAATTTTTATACCATTGAAACACTTATAAATATGGATACATTTTATGTTAATACACAGAAGCACCTCTGCTTATCCTGCGGACACAGCTTCATGTTTTATAATCCGTCCCATAAACCAACTTATTAAAGAAATTAACGTCAAAAGCTGAGCTTTTAACATTAAATTCAATATAGTACACGTCCGTAAAGCGCGACGTCCGCGCGTCATCTGACAAAAATTTCACTATCGAGCGAGCATACCCTATTGCCGTCTCACTCACACTTAGTGTGTGTATGCTGAGCTGGATAGTGAAAAGGGTAGCTTCACTCAACCGCTGCTGGCACCATCTCTCCGCAGCCGAGGGTATGGGTAGTGTCTAGGACTGGTAGTGGAGCCGTTGGTGCTCGAAGACGAGCCGAGCTGAGCTCGTTACACTGCACCCATAGCTCCAACTGGAATTGGAAAAAAAATATCCAATTTAAATTTGGAACTTACGTGTGCAGTCCACATAGTTTTGGAACCGTCAATCATAATGGGGTGGTCATCATTAGTGATTTACATCTCAGTTTTGAGCAATGGTAATCATGTCCCTATTTCCTTCATTTCCATTTTCCATGACCCATAAAAATCTTAAGTCTAACACAACGAAGGCAAAATTAAATATAGTTCGAAAAATCAAAAATATATTTATAAGGAATTTGAATGGGTTTTGAATGGATTACAAGGATTTAGGGAAAAGAGGATATGAAGGCATAGGGAGTTCATGATGAATCTGACAGGGTAGAATGGGATATTTGTGAAGTACTATGGGATAAGGGCAGGCAAAAATTCATTGATATGTTCACGATGGGATTTTAATCTTTGTCAGAATCAAAACTGATCAAAATATCAAATTTCAGTTGAAAGAAAACAAACGAAAAGCCTAAAGTTAAAAAAGTGCTGTCACATTTACAAATGTTATCCAGAAACTAATTGGTAAACTTCATCCAACTAAAAAAAGTCTTAAAGAAACCTCAACTTTACTCAGAAAACTGCTGTCACATTTACAAATGTTATCCAGAAACTAATTAATAAACTTCATCCAACTAAAAAAAGTCTTAAAGAAACCTCAACTTTACTCAGAAAACTTCCCCCCAAAATTCTAGATACAACTCACGTACCTCAGGAGGCATCTTCTCAGGAGGATGTTTACAAGATCCTCCGCAATGCAGCTGCAATAGCAGCTCTGCTATAGCGGCAGCAGAAGTGTCGATAACGCGCTGCCGACACACTGCTATCGCATGCACAAACCCACCAGGGCCTATGAACTCATGTTCCATGAAAACTGTCTTGTCGTCCCAGAATATTGCCTGGAAACAGACACAATACTAGTCAGTATCTTCAATAAATACCAGTATTCAGCTAGATCAAGCAAAGAGCGTTATAGCAATGATGGCAAAACGATTTTCGCCGATTTTATATGACCGTAAATGGAACCTGAAATGTCATATTCAAGAGCTAAGAGTTGGTAGAAGTATTTTTGTTGTAAATCAACTGAACATGAGAGATTTAAAACGTGTTAAGAGCAAGCTTGCTAGAAGATAAACGAGATTAAAATTCAAAATTCTGCTTCAGTTCAATTACGGTTGTCTGGAAAAGAATGCTTTTTAAAAGTCAAAAATCATTTATTCCAATCAGACCCTTACAGGCCCTTTTGAACGCCAAATAAATTGTTTTGAAGTTATTGTGTCAGTCTGTCGATCAGTCCTCTTAGTGAAGCTATTTGCTCGTTCCAAAGTGTAGATTCCGATGGAGAAGAACGAGCAAGAAACTCCATGGTTACTCTTCTTAAATCAGTTCCACACACAGATTCCTTTTACAAACAGCTTTTTAGCGAGAGGATCGCTTTTTGTATTTATATTTATTAGTTTTGACATCATTTTGTTCCTGGTGGTGTACAATAAATAATTTACATATAAACAAAATAAAGTTTATAAATAAAAATCCAAAACCAACCTTAGAAGTAATTGTAAACTTTGTGAATGGTTTTAAAAACCTCCTGTATCTAATGGTGCAAGCAGCTTGCACCACGGCGCCGCCAGCCGCCTTGATGTTGGCGTACAGACCCGTCCTCTCGTAGAAGTCAGCTCTTGCAAAGTCCAGCTCGCGAAGGTAGCGAGCATTGTTCATGTGGTAGAGAAGCGTGTCAATGTCGTTTACTAAACACCATGCTGGAAAATAGAGGGCACATAAACATTATGACAAGTGCCTAAGGCGTTGTATATATTTTATGTTATATATTTTAGGTGAGTGGCCAAAAACTGGACGAACCACCAAATGAGAATACAGACATTTTTCACAATTCCTGTGGATCCGCGAATGTATAATTGCGTCAACGGATTGGAAGCTGAAGACATTTACCAGTTTTTATAAATATTTTCAAGTCAAAAATCTACGAAACCACTAAACCTTGAAACATACGCATTAGGGCTAAGCACAAGGACTAAAAACTTGGTAAAGTTCATTTACAAAATATTCTTTAATCGAACAATTATTTGAGATCGCGTTTGAATGGAAACTTAAAATTGCTTCTAATTATCTCTCTTTCTATTATTCAGAACATGATTTACGCAACAAGAATCATATTTGCAGTTGTGTAGTGTCCGTGATTTTGGACTTTAAAGTTTGCACAGTATGGTACCCGCGCGCATATGCTCTTTTGAAGTAACAAAGACGTTCTTCTAGTCTCTTCTTTTCCCGCCCAGGGTAAGGCGAGAGAGAGTGACACTCTTACTGACTAAAACCCCCCCGTTCCTTCTCCTGCTCGGTTCTTCTACGCCTCTACGGTCATAAAAAGCTGTTCCTACCTTCGACCTCCGTAGTATCCATAATACAGACTTTCTTCTTGAAGTACCGCGCTTTGGCGACAGTGTACATCATCCTCGCGAAGTAGGCTACGTCTATACTGCCGTACAGCAGCAGAGCACCCGCCACCACAGCCGCTGCCCATCCTGGTACGCATACCGTCCACATCTTGAACTGGAACAGAAGATGAAAGGATAAAAATCTCGTATGATCTGAGTATTGACCTAATGGACTCTTTGTGGTGGTAGCCCGGAGGTTAAGCAGCCCGCAGGTTAAGCAGCCCGCTTCTCATGCATGAGGGTGTGGGTTCGAAACCTGGCAAGTGCCAATGTGACATTTTCCGAGTTAAATGTACTTTCTATGATTATTTAGACACCACTGACATACGGTGAAGGTAATCATCGTGAGGAAACCTGGACTAATAATTTCTAATTATAAGTTTGAAATCGCCAACCCTCATTTAGCAAGCGTGGTGATTAATGCTCTAACCTTCTCCGTATGAGAAAAGGCCTTTGCTCAGCAGTGGGCACTTATAGGCTGATGATGATGATGATGGACTCTTTGAAGTGATAAAATGACTCTTCTATTGCAGGTTTTTCTAGGGTGGGTAGTTATTAAATGTCCTCTGTCACGCGAGAGGGAGTGTCAGACTCTAATTGAGCAAAAACCACCCAGTCTCTTCTTTTCCTCCAGGCCCAGGCTGCGATTCATTATTGCGCTTAATCCACAACCCTGGCTGAACATCGCCCCTGTAGGGTTACCCTTTCTCGCCATCCGCACACCCACGCTTACGGAGGCAAACTCTTCAGTCTTTCACTAACTAAAACCACACCATTCGTTTACCCTGGTTCGAGGTTGGGGCCTCGGTATATTATCGGATGGAAATCGGCCTTAGTGGGCCTCATTTGTGGTGGCCTGATAACTACTTGAGGCGCACGCGAAATGCGACGCTCCATAGGCTCGGGTTATATAAAAAATGTACTACTATATTGATTAAGACGTAAACTTCACTCGCTGCTCGGCTCCATTTGATCGTAGCGTGATGTTTAGTTATAGCCTATAGCACTCGGGAACATAATTGCTAAACAAGAAGAATCAGGTGCCTATTTCATTGTTGTATAACTGTCGTCGTTAACATAAAGTCATTCACTACGCAATTCTGTGTATTTTGATGGATAATTCTTCACAACTCGTACTTATTCTGTTGGACTGTCTTCCTAAGAACAGAAACTTCTGTTTGGAGTTTATTGCTAGTTCTTATTCATTCGAATCTTTAAGGAACAAGCACCTAACGTCACTGACGGACAGACTGACAGCCTATTATTCTATTTTGACGTTTCAAAAAGTACCTATCTATTTATTGTTTAGTTGTAATAAATAATTTTGACTTTGACTTTTACTGTTTTTTTACGTTATATTATCGACAAACGACCTGATTACCTGATGGTAAGCAACCAACGCCGCCCCTAGATACTCGTAATATCACAGGAGTAATTACAAGTGCGCTGCCGGCCTCTTTTGGCTTATTAGGGATTTAAAATAGGGGATTTGAGGATTAAGAGGTGGGAAGGATTGGGCACCCGGTAACCTCACTCACACGACGAAAAACAACGTAAGTGTTGGCTCACGCCAGTTTTCTGTGAGGCCGGAGTGTCACTCCGGTCTAGCCAGTCATTCCAGTCGAAGCATGGCTCACACATACTGAAAAATGTGCTTATAAAGTATCTAAGTATTTGACATATTTTTGTTACAAGTTCAGTATGATGTCTAGATGTCTAGACGACTGCACGGTTGGCGCGGTGGCTGGGCAACTGGCTGCCGCGCAACGTGTCGCGGGTTCAATTCCGCACGGAACAACTCTTTGTGTGATCCACAAATTGTTGTTCCGGGTCTGGGTGTGATGTGCATGTGAAATTGTATGTTTGTAAACGCACCCACGATACAGGAGAAAATCCCAGAGTGGGGCAACGTGTTTTAAAAAATAAAATAAAAAAAAAGATGTCGTAGTAGCCAATATGGTACAAAAGTAGTGTAAAGTACAATATGAAGAAAGTGCTTCACCAAAACAATATTTAATTAAGTGCAAACATTGATATAACGAATGAGAATGAGCTCGGAGTCTCTATAAATAGCAAATAAATGTTGTCAAGGGTAAAACCAATCGATATGTAATATAAATTATTTGTAATCGAACATCTTTCCAATGTACTAACATTTATCAACCAATAGTGAGTAAATAGGTTGATACAGTATTGTCTATATGTATAGACGGAACCCTATTTTTTTTAAATGCCTTCTCTTGTCCTGGTGCCATACTTCCTGAAGAATTTCAAAAGACTTCGGGCGGGCATAGTGTTATGAATATGGTTTTTGTTTTATGAGGGGAAAATCATCAAATGACTTCTCCAGTCCCCGTTCCTTCTCATGCTCCAGGTCGAGGCCGCGGTGCCTCATTGCGTTTGCCCTGCAACCCGGCTGAGGGTTATGAATACATTCGTATTCGATGTTCGATTCGGGTCAGCTCGACCGGAGTGATACCCCGGCCTCACAGAAAACCAGCGTGAAATATACACGGCATTGTACTTCCCCAATCCCTTAATCTACAAAACCCTAATCCTCAAAGAGCCGGTAACGTACTGTTAACTTCTCCTTTATTGCGAGTGTCCATGGGCGGCGCTGACTGCTTACCATCAGGGAACGCGTCGGCTATAACGTATTTTTTTTTATGGACGCTCTGGATTTCGATTGAAAAGTTCTTTTACCTTTCCTATGTATATGTATCAAATACTCGTAGGTATACGTACCTAGGTAAAAGTGTTTGTTTTAATATAAAATTCTTATCAACATTACGTAGCGCGTAGGTACGTATTTTGTAACAAACAGCACGATATATTACACATTATTACGTGGTAACTTTGTTTACTTTATTGTGTAAATAATATTCTGCTTAAAGTACAACGAAACAACCTCAAAAACTACGACCAGCTGCGGTGGAGTGGACAGCCATATTATCGATGTTTTTGCGATCTCTGAATCGCGTCCGAAGCTTAGTAACTATTTATGGTAGGTTTTAAGGAAAAAGGTTGTTCTATTGTGAACGCATTATGATGCTCAGAACGAAAGGAAAAATAGGCTCAACCCTTGTGAACTACCTTACGCTAACATATTGCGGGTGTTATTGGAGAGATCATGGTAAAAGATTAGCTGAGGAATACCTTTCTACTAAGAGTAGAGTATCCATACCATTGTAAAATACGACGGATTTCTTCAACTTTATCATCATCTCATCAGCCATTAGAGATCTATTTCTAAATATAAAGCCAATGTCTTCTAGGTTGGCTGGTCAGAATCTACCTGCATCTACCGAAAATCAAAGTCAAATCATCATCATCATCATCATCATCATCAGCCTGTTGTCGTCCACTGCTGGACATAGGCCTCCCAAAGTCAAATACCTATTTTTGTTGCATACGTATTTTGGTGGTGAACTTTTTGCTTCAAAACTATTAAGACATGGTTTCATAGTGAGAAGGCCTTGAACGCCTTATAAAAAAATAATAGCAAGTTATTTAAAAAAACATATTGCATGTTTTTTTATCAAAGGCATGTAGAATGATATACAAACTACACCTACGTTCATTGAGTCTGCCTAATCGATAAATACAGTTCTAATACCACATATAAAGTCCTTGAAATAATAACGAATGCGAACTGGACACAACGAATCATTAGTTTTATTAATATTTTATTTTATATAATGTCCTACAACACCCATTTACTTTAATAAAACTTAGTTTTCAGCTATATTAAAACATCGATCTAGGTACCGGAATAGTTGGCCTTGAAAAACCAAAAGTACAGACCTAGTAACACACAGTAGGAATAATTACCTAACTACGCTAGTAGGTATATAGAACGCCATAATCGAGAAGTCTCTACTATATATTTCTATATTTGTCCATTCCTAATGTCTGGATGAGGACTCTCAACACGGTAAATGGAGGCTGAATACCTTACCTTATCGATCAGCTGATGGCAAGACCAAACGAAACTAAAATCTTTTAGTTTTTGTTCCTAATCAAGCTGGTGTACAATATATATCCCCACGTATATCCCTTTTACCTAACATAGCGGCCTAATAGCACTGTTACGTTAAATACGCTAAGTATTTCAACAAACATACCTTAAGTTTCCAACCGGCGAAAAACAAGAAAAAAAATTAATACGCCATATCCACAAAAACTAATATAAAACCACCATAAAACACTTATTTACTTCGAAAACTTTATTTTAAAATTATTTCTAATAATTAAAACACATTTATTTCTTCAAAACTTGTTAAAATAACCTAGAGACGGTGTCACTATGGTATTTTTTCACTTACAAAATTCCAATGACAGTTTTCCATTGCGCGCGCAGCGCAGGCTGATCGATACAACAAGAAAATGTTGCCCGCGAATTTTGACACCGGTTTTTTAAGAGCGAGGCACAGGTAAATGTATAAAAAGTCTTATAAAAAAAATTCAAGGTCCTGTTGTTTTATTTATTTATAACTTACGCATTACTTAATTCTCGACAAATCTCCTTTCTGCGAATACTTTACCTTAGGACTGGATAACAAATGATTAAGAATCTCGAAAGAGCTCGGGCGGGCAAGGTTTATGCTTATTGTATCCTCCGTTTTAAGTTATGGATTTGGTAGGTCAGTTACTTTACAAATAAGTTTATTATGTTTAAATCAATAATGGGATCAAAAATATGGAATGGAATGAAAGTCGCTTCCAATCAGCGATTTGAAAGTGATCGGGGACAATAATCAAATGTCTTCTCTCGCCCTGCCCAGAGCGGAGGGGAGTGTCAGACTCTTAGGTACTGACTAAAAACCACCCCGTTCCTTCTCCTGCTCCAGTCCGAGGCCTCGCAACTTACATTAGGTATTTATTTATACTTAAATGTACACATAATAGACAAAGGCATTCTCTGCCAGTCAAACTTAGGTTATTTTGTGGGGTTATAATATTGTATTTTAAGATTAAAATGAAGATAAATCAAATAAATAATTATCACGCTTGACCCGCAACCCCGGCAATACGTTCAACAGAAGATGACTCCAGTCTGATATTATGCTGATGATGGCAGTCTCGAGCCTCTTTTTTTATGATAAGTATAGGTTGGCAAAAGAGCAGACTGGTTACCTGATGGTAAGCAATCAGCGCCGCCCATGAAGACCTGCATCACCAAAGGAGTTAATAGTGCGTTGCCGGCCTTTTAGGGATAAGGGTTTCAGATATTTAAAGGATTGGGAATTGATGGGGAGGGGGAGGGGTTGAGCCTCCGGCAACCTCACTCACACGGCAAAACACAACGCTGTGGTTGTGTCACGCCGGTTTTCTGTGAGGCCGTGGTATCACTCCGGTCGAGCCGACCCATTCGTGCCGAAGCGTTGCTCTCCCACACAAAAAGCTTAGTAGTCGGTACGGTTAAAGTTTAAAACTTGAAGCAGCAGAGCTCCTTGATAAGTAAACTATATCAAGTAATAATATATTCACTGTACTAGGTAGATAGTAAGTAAAGGTATTCTAATTCCAAGAGCCTGATAGCGTAGCAGCTACATATTTATTGCAAGCATTATTTTGCTACAAACATAAGGTCAGGAGTTAATTCGAATAACTAGTGAAATGTTAATTCAGCTCCTAAATAAATAAGTATAGATACAATAAAATTAAGAAGACATATAGATCACAGTAGCTACTTTATAACAACAAACAATAAACAATTTAAGTAAATTGTTCTCGGATAGATGATCATGTAACTTGATGGACAAAATCCGTGGTACAAAGCTTATCATGCAATAATTATCTAGTAGACAGTAGTAGTTTTATCCCTACATTCCTTACACCCCCGTTCATAACGCAAAGTTTACAATCTCACCCACGATTCGACATTTTGAGTGGAACAATGAACACGCATACCAGTAGCTATTCGTCTAGACCTACAAAAGCACGAATTTAACAAGAAAGTGAGGTTCAACTTAAACTGGTCAGTGAAACGCTCGGTGCTGGCACACGGACGCGCCGCCATGTCGGTGACCTCGGACCGTGACTCTTTCTCCCTCACTCCCGTACATAAAGAGCGAGACCACAATAACACGATCCGATTCGAGAAATGGTTATCCGTAGTGACGTGTTAGACTGGGGTGTGTAAACAGCTTCGATAAACGACGAAAAAACTTATTTTTGTTGTTTTATTTATTTATTTTGATACTAAAATGCGTTCTGTACGTGATTTTAAATACGATGTGATAAGTTTAATACGTTATGTTAGGGACAGGCCGTGTTTGTGGGACAAAACTTTGGAAAATTATAAAGATCGAACGGAACGGAGGTGCGCTTGGGAAGAAATTTTCAACTTATTGGACGAAAGTTACGAAGATATGACGCCTGAAGAGAAAAGGATTACGGGTAAGTAATGGAAACAAACATGTTTATATGAAGTTATAAGTACCAAGAAAACATACTGCCTACTGCATATTGAGTTTTTGTCATTCAATATTACAAACAGTAAGTCTCCTTTGAAAAATATTTAATGTATTACATAAATATTTGGAGCGATATCGATAGCTATTGCTATCAATGATAAAGTGCATTATACGTAGGTACATCTGAACTTACTCTTATAATAAAAGTAACAATCAATTTTGTTGTTATTATTATGATATCCTAAGGTAATCAATTTACTGGGTAGTAAGTAGGTACCTATATAAACTTAGGTATTAATTAATAATGGGTCCGTCAGCTGTCTAGTTAGCAACAGAGAGGGTTAAGAACTCATGCCCTGAATTGAGAAACTCTTCTCTCCATGGCTATGAAATAGTTATGCTAACATGATTGCATGGTTGGCGCAGTGGCTGGGCAACTAGCTGTTGTAACTGCAACGTGTCGCGGGTTCGGTTCCCGCACGAAACAACACTGATCCTTAAATAGGCTCTGGGGAGGGAGGGCTATTATGTGAATCAAATCAAATTCTTTAATTCAAGTAGACCACAACAGACACTTTTGATCGTCAAGCAAAAAATATATCATAAGGTTTAACTTTATACGTGTCAGTCTGTCCGTCTGTCCTCTAGTGAAGCTATTTGCTCGTTCCAAAGTGTAGATTCCTATAGAGAAGAACGAGCAAGAAACTCCATGGTTACTCTTTTTCAATCAGTTTTCACAATGCATAGTTACGTAATTTAGATAGAGAAAATTTAAAAGAGTGGGGCAGAGTTTAAAAACATACTTATACCTAGAGCTAAAATAAAACCGGATGGAACCGACTCAATCGACATGGCGACACGTCACGGGAAATTAGCAACTGAGTTTTCTGAGGTTTTTCAGTCCCAACCCGTTCCTTACTCAAATTGACAACCTAAACTGAAAATCCTCAAATACTTGAACTGCAGATGTCCTAAGCGGTGCCGATGCTTACCATCAGTTTATAAATATAATATATTTTCTTTTGTTACAGGAGAGCTAATTCTAAACAAATGGACGAACATACGTGATACATTTAGCAAAACATTAAAAACTAAAATGGGAAAGCCTAAAAAGAAATACGTCCTACACGACCATTTAGAATTCCTAATGAAAATCATACCAGACGCTGCGAACGAATGCCACAGGGACCTGAATTTAGAACCTAGTTTTATGAAGCAAGAACCTGAATCTAGTTACACTATAACTACTGAAATAGTGCCTGAAACTTCTACAGATTTTACTATTAGTAACGTTACTAGTTTTGGCACGAAGAAAATTGATTTTGACGCTGCAAAAGCAATCGATTCCGCCAGCGAAGCTAGCTATACTACCAAACGCTCAAAAAGTAACTTCGACACAAAATCGACAGATGCAAGCGAATACAGCTACCGTAAAAATAATAGGAGTAAAAAAAAATCAAAACGATCCGTTTATGATGATGACGAATCAGTTTCTAGTCGAAAGAAATCAAGAAAAAGTAGTATCAAAGATACAAATGATGATTCTTCAATCATCGATTCTATAAATGATATTGATTTTGTCGAAGTTGACACAAATGATCCGCGGATAATGAATGAAGATGAGGCATTTTTCGCGTCCTTATTACCCACAGTTGTAAAGTATAATGAAAATGAAAGACTTGAGTTCAGACTTGAAGTCCTTGGGGTTATGAAGAAGTTGAGAGATAAGAGGAATTGGACAACGGATTAGTACCTATTTATTCTTATTTTTATCAGAATATAATAATATTCTAAGACTAAGGAAGTAAACAAAAAGGCCTAAGGAAGTAAAGAAAAAGGCCTCTTGTAACATGAACAAGGGTTGCCAGACTTTGAAAATGGAAAATGGTAGTTAAGTATCATCAATTTTTGGTAACACCAATTTATTAACTATAGAGCTTATTTTAAAAAAAGGCATCCGATAATTAGTGATTTTTATATGATGATGAAGTCTGTGCTTATGGAACCGATTAGCCTGTGGCTATTACCAGCTGTGCGTACCTAGTTTTTCAATACAAACTTTATGATTGTTGTACAATCACGCGAACAAATCATATTGCACTCTGGTCACACATCGAGCGTACCATTCAGTATGTTAATTTTGTACTTTAGCATATGAAGACTGAATAAATATAATGCTAATTATTTTATAATCATAATTGTATTTTTTATTTTGGTAAACCATATCATTTTGCCTAAAACGAGTTTAGTTCGGCTAAGTAGTCGTAGTAACGTCGTCTGTTGTAATTATTCTAACAGTCAACCTCAACAAAAGCGCGATGAAAACAGAAAGTTCGCAAGTCCTAACACAGCATATTTTAAGGGTATGAGTCACCGCGGCCTCGGCCCAGAGCAGGAGAAGGAACGGGGGGTTTTTGGTCAGTAAGAGTCTGACACTCTCTCTCTCTCTCACTGTCTCTCTCGCCTTCTCTGTGCGGGAGAGGTCATTTAATGATTTTCTCCTGACAAAAAAAGCATATTTTAAGGGTAAACCAGCTGAAAAAATAAAGAAAGTAAATAAAATCTCCATATGTTTAATAGATAAGTTTTAATGATCATTTTTTCTGTAGCATTTTTAAAAATAATGTTTACAGTATGTAATCACAAAAACACAAATGTTTTTAATTAAAAAATAATGAAACTCCCTAAACTTTAATTAATAGTTTCCCTTTACAGCTAATAAATTTAAACTTCTAAGTGAAAAATATAACAAAAACGCTTCTGCAATACTGTATTTTTTCGTTCAAACTATAATATCGGAGGTACGACGCTACCTACAATATTATTAGTCACAAGAACAATAACAACATGCTGGAATATATAAAAATTTCGAACCTTACTTTTAAGAAATGGCAGATTTTTTTTCTTCCAAAACGAAATAATATGTAGGTTTCAAAAACTCTCAGAATAATTATTAAAGTTAGTCGTAATATTGGATGTGGTAATTTTAGTGTTTTTAGCGGAGGTGGCTGTCAGACGCGAGCCGACCGCGCCGCGCAACGGACGCGTCCCGGCAAACTACTAGCCGTCACACACAAACACGAGCTTACGACTAATTAAGTTGAACTATGGGCTCCATAAAACCACCCATCGAGTGCACATAATTACCCCATTACAATTTTCACTATACGACCCAAAATAGGTCGAAACTCACTAAATTCACTAAAATTTAAACACCCCCCCATTCCACTATTTACAAATTCGGAATGAACTTTGATTCTAGACGTCGAGAATTTAGTGTTTCTTTTTTTTTACTTTTTCACACTTTATTCTTGTAATAAGTAACAAATAAACCATTATTTTCGTCTTTACTATTACGGCTTTTATATACACAAGCGGTAGAATACTGTAAGGAAAATGAATCATCGGCTTAGAGCCGGCCCGGTGAGCCAGCGAGCAGGGCCTGTGCTCGGCTGGACTGAGTAATACGTATAACGCTACATTATATCGGTACTATAGTGACTAGACGGTCCCCTAAACAAAAATTGGGGATCAAAAATTTATTTACATGTTTTACACTATGGATATCAAATTCACACTAGCTTAACACATTGCTACTATTAAATGTTTATATATTTATTTATTAAATACAGCGATAATAACGCCCTTTGGAAACGTAATGTAAAGCGCAGGTGAGTAGAGGGCGCCACATAAACTATTGGCACCGAAATATTATGATAAACAAAATCTCAAAAATAATTCAAATCACCAAGTTAAAGCTCCCATCGTGTTTATGAATAGTTCACTTTGTGCTGTGTCACATGGAAGTAGCTTACAACTAAACTATGCGCATATACTACACTATGTAAATAAATATACATACATATTGGCTCGAATCAAACGTGACAACGCTATAATAAAACGAATCATTACCTCAACATCAGTCTAGCATCGTTATGAAGGGCTATTTTATAAATGTTATAAATTAATACAACTACACCGCTAAAAGACGATTAAATTCATATTTGAGTATGGCCTGTAATCACTAACGGAAACACTTACGTCTAGTAGAGGTAACCTATAGAAATACATTTTTATACAATTACATATATCGATACAAAATATGTTTATGGATAATATATTACAAGAAATAAAAAACAACGCTACAAGAAATTCAAGTTTCGAACTACAAATAAAAACGAATTTGAACTTATCGGTGACATACTTAGAAAATAATAACACGTTAAGGAACTCACGAAGAATTATTCGATCAACTTTAACAAAAAAGAAATATATAATCGCGCGCATCGAAACTGCAGTGAACTTAGCTACCGGTTATTTACTTATAAAATTATATACAAAACAATTTCAACAACATTTTTTTTTTTATAATACACCTAAAAAAGTGAAACCTCGTCAGTAAAGAGATCGCGTTTCAGTCTGGCGTGGCAGACGGAGTATAATAATAATAATGCCACAGCCTTAATGTAGAAATCGGTAATCACAATGTGTCTTATGTCAGTTGGTTGTAGTAAAGTCTATGTTGGGTTTCCTCTGGCGGGGTTTCTTGGGACGAGGCGGGGCTGGCTCGCCGTTGCAGCAGTGGCAGCCGCGCTTCACCACGCCGCGGCCGGACGCGCGCCGCCTGCCCTCAGCGCTGTCGTGCCTGTCGTGTCGGTCGTGCCTATCGTGCCGGTCGTGTCTCTCGTGTCTGTCGTGTCGCTCCATATGCATATCAGGCGAGCGCTCGCCCGCCCGAGTCTTCCCGGACAGGCTCCGCGCTGCGCCAGCATCTAGCGCGTGATGGTACATGCGCTTGGGTGGGTACGTACGAAGCGGCGGGGCGTGAGTGTCGTCGGCCGACGACCCGTCGGCACTACAACGTCTCTCAATGCCCCTCGCCTCCTTTATAACAGAGTCTAATCTCATATGAGCACCAATCCCGCTAGAATCCGTAGAATTGTTTTCTTCGAAGGATGGGCTCTTGCAACATTTGTCGCTGTCACTGCTGAAGTCTAGTGGACGTCTAGTCTCACGTTCTGAAGCAGAGTTCGACTCCCAGAACAGTTCAGTACGCTCGGGGGAAGATTCCTCATCTTCGACGTCTCCGAAATCTCTCGAGTCGTCAGTCATCATTTTGGTGTGGTGGTTATGCAAGAGGCCTTCGTTTTCATCGATGAGGAACCTTGAGGTTTGTTCTCTCTTGTTTCCGTAGCAGACTCGCCTGATGACTTGTGTGGTGTTGTTGCCTGTGGCGTGGACAATGGCGGACGCTGTGTTGGAGAGGTGTAATTCTCTATTATCATTGAGTATGCTGTCAAACCTTGTGAGTCCGTCGTCCTTGACGAGCACTGAGGACAGGTTGATGTTGTTATGTGTGTGTGGTCCGGGCAAAGAGTTGATCATGTTGTCTATATCTGAGTACTTGACAGTGTTGTGTGGGCCGCTACTTTCGGCGGTGGCTTGTGAGATGACGGTGGTCTGCGGCGCCGTCATCAGTACGGTGCCGGGGGCCCGGTTCGCATGGAATATCGTCGATGTTATGTGACGGCCTTTTAGGCCACTTAATGAGAATGGCTGCACCTGGAAACAACAAAACGCAATATATAAAACACTAAATTGTTTTGTTCGATTATTTTGCAAGTTGAATGCTAAAGTTTAAGTCAGGTATAATTATAGTAGACCTACTATTTAATATTGTATATCTTAATTCTCTACATAATTTAATACGACCGTACCTCTCCCTCATCAGTAGGCTCACTATGGAAGGTCGTATTAGGATGAGACCGGGCAAACTCCTCCTGATCCAAAGCTATGGTCGCTTGCATGCCATCCTCACTCACTGTGACTATGCCCACATCTTCTAGACCTAAACCTAGGTCATTCTGATCATCATGCATGTTTGTCCTAGGCAACAACTGGTCGGTAGCAATCTGGTCGTCCAAATCCGGTTGTGGTATGGTATGATGCATCATTGGTTGTGCTGGAATGAATGATTCAGAGATTAACGGTCTGCTTCACCACCTGCATAAGAGGTACCGATAAACTTTTGTACTTTATTCTGTTTTCAAGTATATGCAGCTACCCAAAATAAAGCCATTATGGAACATGTCCTAAGTTTTTAATTAATAAGGTCTGTTATTGAAGTTCATGCTAATGCAATTTTTTTTTTTTTGGTGGGGGCATGAAAGTATTTTAATAATGAGCTTATCCAGAAAAGCAAACTATCGGTGACGTAGGTAAGATCATAGAGCGATATAAATTTAGTGGTCAAAAGATAACTTTGTTTAAGTTAAGAAGTTCTTATTCTTTACTACGAACACTTTATTACAAGTTTATTTTATTCTGTATCTATTTTATATATTAAAATATTTTTGTATGTTTTCAGACTACCCCGGAGAGTCGAAAAATAAAAAGGAAGCCAGAATATAGAAAATAATTAATTTCTTTGTGTTTAAAATAAAATATTACATAGCAAATAAATCATTTCCTTAAAAAAAAAATATGTTTCGAATCACACACAATTCTTTGTGTGATCCACTATTTATTTTTCGGGTTTGAGCCACGAAATCGAGGACACGGGATAAAGCAAACTTTGCCTTAAAATACTAGATTTTAAGGCAAAGTTTATAAATAAGAATCTTTATATAACACTTACGAGTATGCGAATGGTGGCCATGATCCTGTGTATGATCATGGGCAGGTGAAGCGGCGAATAACAGCTCGGCTTCAGGGAATAACTCGGAAGCGGACGGAGAGTCCACGCCAAGATCCTCACACTCCTCCGACAACGATTTCTGAGAAAGAAAATCCTATTCGATACATGCGTATATTTATTAATAAAACAGAAATTAAAGCACGCTAGAAATAAAATTAAAATGGTGCAGAAACAGTAAACGTAAGTCAGGTTTTTTTTTGCAACAAAAACACAAGTTTTAACACAATTATACAGACAGCATGAAATCAGGTCTAGATTTTCTGTGATGTGTAATAAAAAAAATATCTAATTACACAAAATCTAGATGTGACAGACAGTTTCTTTGAGAATTGATCGATACATGCGTATATTTATTAATAAAACAGAAATTAAAGCACGCTAGAAATAAAATTAAAATGGTGCAGAAACAGTAAACGCAAGTCAGGTTTTATTTTTGCAACAAAAACAACAGTTTTGAAACAATTACACAGCCCGCATGAAATCAGGTCTAGATTTTCTGGGATGTGTAATAAAAAAATATCTAATTACACAAAATCTAGATGTGACAGACAGTTTATTTGAGAATTATATAAACTAAACATAATGGTAGCTCGTTATTAAAAAAAGTCTTATTACAGTTATTTAAGAATCAGATGTGAAAAATAAATGGGTAAATTAACAGTGAACATAGAGCACAATTATATATAATAAAATAAAATATTGCTGATTGGGCGCTAACTAAAGCTACAGCAGTGTGCTGTGGCTCCTATGTTAGATTTATGATTCAAAAGAAAAATAGGAGAAGAACTATTTATTACCTGTAATCTTAGTTCATGTTCCAAAACAGCATATTTGTGTCGTAAAGCTGCAGCGGACACGTGACTCAAACGGTGTTGTCTTTGCTGTGATCCATCCTTCTTCTGTACAACCTACACCAGAAAAATATATGTCACAATTGTCTTTGGTCAATTTTGAATGAAGAATGAAAATTTAAAATTATTTTATTTTAATTATTTTATATGACCTGTTTAAGTATAATGAGAAATAATTATTTTTAAATATTATTGATTTATTTTTAATATTAATTTTGGATACAGACAGTTAGGTTTTAAGCTTAAAGCTACAGTGATAAAACGGTTTTTAAAGCCTACAAACATGATTTTCCTGCCAAAATAATAAATGATTCCAATGACGGCAAAGCAAAGCTTTTCCATTTTAAAATAATTTTGTAAGAACAACAATATACCTTATAACTATCACATTAAGATTTAAACTTCACAACAACTAATGAAGGAGACTCCAATTAAAATGATCCGAGTGAAGGGGGGTCATGCTGTAATGCGGGAATAGACTTGACAATGAAGTTACATAGTTGGGTAGACGTTGTCAATCATGCAAAAATTATAATCTAGTCGCTAGAGAATGTTGTAGAAATGAAGCTTACTCCGAGGTCAGGAGTTTGATAAAATAAAAGACAAAGACTAATTAATGAAGAGGGGAGGCAGAATTAATTAAACACCTAATGTTTGTCCGTGTCCGATTAGCGGCGATGCCGGTACATCATTTAGAAGCGACATTTGCGAATCAGTGTGGTTCTAGTAGACGTTCCGTTTGAACTGCTTCTTAGAGTAACAACAATATAAAAGCTTATGCGAAACGAACACCAAGCATGCGTACTGCTGCAAATATTTACGCCATTTAATTTCATAATTTATTAGTAGGTATATTTTGAATTCGAAATGTCGCATTTACATGATGTATAATCAAAACGGCACACCAACGAACGAAGAACAGCTGACAAAAATAAATCGATGCGTGCATTCTACTAAACAGGCGACTAAATCGTTTAGGTTATCAGCGTCGGTTCTACGATACGGTGTACCTGATGGTAGCCCTTATCGTCGCAATCTGACGCGTCAATATCGTAGCCGCATCGCGGCGAATCGTCGTGCGAACCGACCATGTAAGACCTTTTTGAATCGACGTCGAACATCTTATCAAAAATCCTTTGCGCCTCCATATCGGGACTGTATCTATCTGGGATCGGGTCCTGAAGTTGCAAAATGTGTGTCATACACGATACGAACGGCTTTAATACAATTTGGAACTATCAACGAAATATAATACATATATTTAGAGATAATAGTTCCAATAAGAGTAAGGTGAGTATACTCACAAGGACAGTGCGCTCCATATTGTCTGTTCGAACCACCTCCTCGTAGCTGTAGTCGTGAGGGTTTGCTGTGGCCGGGAGATGCCATGGCTCTCCTCCGTCAGGGCTGGATCCTCGTTCAGGTTTCACCTCCTGTGCATCACGATCTCTCCACGGGGAACTGTTGGCTCTTGTCTCAATCAACTCGGGCGGGGCTGGAGCAGGAGCGGGAGAAGCGGTGCTATCTGGCGGCTGTACAGTAGTTGCAGTAGCCAAGTTAAACGCTTGAAGGTTGTGAAGAGCCGCGGTTGGTAAGCGGACATGTCGCACCCCAGGACGCGCTAAAACTGGCTTCAGTCCAGCAGGACCGATGAGACGCTGTAGTAGCAGTGCATTTCCCCCACCTTCTCCACCGCCCACTGTCAGTAGCTTCGGGCCTCTGTTTGTCACTATTGCAATTTGCTGGCCACCTTTGATCATAGAAACTGGTAGGATGTAGTTGGCGGGCATGAGCACGGCGGCTGTGGATGGTTTGCCAGCCGTGCCTCGAGCCACGGTGATCGTTTGACCATCAGCAACGATGACGTTTCGTTGTGGCTGTGGTCTAGGTTGGGGTGTAGTCGGTGTTTCCTGTTCAAAAGTTAGTTTGCGTACCACTTTACGTGGACTGTCTTGTGGGGAATGGCTATCAATGCAGCTATCGTTGCAATCTCCTTGTGATGTACCGCAGCTACTGTCCTCCGACCCCAGTGTTCTGCAGGAGTCGTCGGCAGGACTCAAATCTCGGCGCCGATAACTGGAGCTCTTCTTGCGTTTCGATGACCCTGGATTTGAAGGTGGATTGTTTCTTCGTCGCGGTGCTGGTTTATCTTTGTCAGGAGAATTTTCCACCTGTTCTTTATATTCGGCTAAGATGTAAAGAATTCTCTGAGTGGTTTGTTCATCTTCAGCCGGTTTTTGAGTGGATGGTTTTGGAGGCGTAGTGTTAAGTTTTAGCGTATTCGGAGGATTAGATGACGCTTTTGGCCTTGATTTAGATTTTGAACTGGATTTAGACTTAGATGTAGTCGGAGCATCAGACGTCGACGGTTCGCTGGTAACCGTGTGAGGAATCTGGCTATGTGATGACGACGAGGGTGACGAGTCAACGATACCCGAAGAGTCTGGTGACCGAGCGAATGACGAAGTCGATGGTGTTGACGATGAAGATGGACCTGGTGTTGTTGACTTTTTGTTCACATACGAAACATTCAAAGGCTGTGTGTTCCCAATAGAGTATAGAACTTGGTGTTGCTTATGTGGTTGGGCTCGAGACGTCTCTCCCGAACCTGAGCTAGTAGAGGCTGTTGAGTCAGTTTTGTCTTTTGACTTTTTCGAACCCTTTTTCGATTTCGGTTGCACCGTGCTCCTTTCTTTGACTTGTTCCAAGACTAAATCAAACTCTCTAAGTTGTTCCAATGTCGATGAACTCATGGACTCGGTTGATGATTGACTTTCACTTGCACTTGGAGCACTTGCAGTTTTGACTGGTTTGCTAGTTTGCTGGGTAGGTTGTTGGGTAGTCTGTTGGGGAGGTTGTTGGGTAGCCTGCTGAGTGACCTGCTGGGTAGGCTGTTGGGTAGTTTGTTGGGGAGTTTGTAGGGTAGTTTGGTGATTGGTTTGGTGGTTGGTTTGATGATTGGTTTGTAGATTGGTTTGATGGCTAGTTTGAAGGTTATTTTGAAGGTTGTTTTGAAGGTTGGTTTGAAGGTTGGTTTGAAGATTGGCTTGAAGATTGGTTTGATGGTTGGTTTGCTGGCTATTTTGGTGGCTGGTTTGCTGGGTAGTTTGCTGCGTAGCTGGTTGGGACGTTTGCGGTACCCTCACGGTTTGTTGCCCAAGCTGAGGAGCTGCTGTAAGGACTAACTGTTGATACACAGGCTGATTGGTCCCAGAGATGACATTTCTTTGTATTTGGAAGAATGATGGCCTCACAACTCTGCCTCCAGATACTACCTGTGGTCCTTTACTTAACATTGGCAGTTTTATTCGCATTTGCGTCAAAACTGGCTGTTGCTGGGTGGGGTGTGAGTTTTCATTTGTGGCCCCAATGAGCTGGTTATTATCCTCATTATTCTCTGTATTGGCGTGAGTTTGTGTTTGAGGAACAATCTTTATTATCGATGGTTCTATCTCATTCTGTTGTTTTTGATTCGATTCGTCTATTAGGTCTGAGCTGGGTACAGTAATCAAATTAATAGTTTGTCCTCCAGAGAGGTTAACTGGTATTTGTCGAGTATAAATCACACCGCCGTGGATATTCATTGGCGATATAGTTTGTTTTATTTGCTGAACCAAATTTGGCTGAGCTTGCGAAGTAGAAGGCTTTCTCAATAATAGCGGTGGACTTCCGATCTGGCTTATATGATCTAAATTAATAGCATTATCATTTGCTTGACAATCAGGGTTTTCCTCAGGTGGCATGTCATTCCCATTACTCATGTCGTTTTTCTGTCCACCATCTTGGTAAACCTGTTTCCCAAAGGCTTGATTAAATTTAGGTAAACTCGTCCCCTTTTCTGGTGAATTCGTTTTGGGTGATGAGCTTTGTATAAATTTTGCATAATTTTCTTCGTAAATAGAACGGGATTTTATTTCAGCGTCTTTGGCAGCGTTTTGGGTTGGACTGAGATCTTGTGTCTCTATTTGTTTAGGCTGAGCTTGTTGTAGATTTGGAGCCTCAACAGGCTGTAGTCGGAGTACCATACTCCGTTGGTGAGGTCCATTTAATTGTATAGCTTTTCCGTCAGCAGATTTGCAAACAAATTGCACCATTTTCTGTTCATTTCCTCCTTGGACATTTGTTAGATTGGTTAGAAGATTTACTCTCTTCAGTAGTTGTCCGGTGTTTGCATTCTTTTGGTTTCCAGCGTTCACAATATGGAGAAGTTGATTGCCTTGTTGCAAACCCGCATCTACTAAGGAGAGGCCACTGAAAGAATTTGTTTGTGAAACCGGTGTTCCATTCGACGTAGGGCCAGGAGGTACAGTTTTATTCTGAACAATGTGCAAGACTGGAGTATTATTTGCGTTGTTTATAACAGACTGCTGGGTATTATCAACAAGAGTTATTTGCTGATGATTGCCTGAGGCACTCTTTCCTTGTACTATGTGTAAAACTTGTGGTGTCGAGGGTTGCTGATTGGTTTCTGCGTTATTTGTTTGATTCAACGGTGGCGGAAGAATCTGGGCTAACGCTTGCTGTAACGCCATAGCATTTATCGATGTAGTTTTCTGAAAATTATTTGGCGTTTGATTTGCGGTAACGTTGCCTTGCCTTAATTTTTGAGAGAACATGTTTACAATAGCTTGTGCTCTGTTATTTGAAACGGGCTCTGAGGTTGCAGTAATTCCCGCTGCATTCATTGCATGGGCAATTTGGTCAGTTTTTTCTTGTGAACCGTTTTGTTGGAGCTGCTGATGTTGTTGTTGCTGGAGCTGTTGTTGTTGCTGCTGCAGTTGTTGCTGCTGTTGTTGTAGCTGTAATTGTTGCTGTTGTTGTTGCAATTGTTGTTGCTCCAATTGTTGTTGCTGTTGCTGCAATTGATGTTTTTGCTGCAACTCTTGTTGTTGCATTTGTTGTTTTTGCTGTAACTCTTGTTTTTGTTGCTTTAGTTGTTGTTGTTTCATTTCCTGTTGTTGTTGTTTTTGTAACTTCAATTGTTGTTGTTTTAATTCTTTTTGCTGTTGCTGCTGTAATTTGAGCTCTTGTTGTTTTTGTTGCTTTTGTTTTTGCTCCTGTTTCTGCAGCTGTTGTTTAAGTTCTTTTTGTTTCTCTTTTTGCTGCTTCAGTTCTTGTTGTTTTTGTAATTGCTGCTGTTGTTTTAGTTCTTGCAATTGTTGCTGCTGTTGTTGTTTTTCCTGCGCCAGTTTAAGATCTTGTAAATGTTGTTGGTGTTGCAGTTCTTCTTGTTGCAGTTTCAGCTCTTGTAAATGTTGTTGCTGTTTAATCTCCTCTTGTTCCTTCAACTCAAGTAAACGTTGTTGTTGTTGCCTCTGTTCCTCTTCTTGTTGTTGTTTCAGTTGGTGTTCCTGCATCTGCTGCAGTTTCTGTTGCTCTTGTTCAAATTGCAGCTGACGTAGTTCTAACTGTCGTTGCTCATATTCGTGTTGTTGTTGTTGTTGTTGAAGATGTTGCTGTCCTTGTTCGTATTGTTCGTGAATCAGTTTTTGTTGATGCTGGTACTGATCCTGATGTTGATATTGCTCGTGCTCTGGCTGCAACTGTTGATATTGCTCGAGATCTGGTTGGAGTTGTTGGTATTGCTGCTCGTGTTCTGGTTGATGCATATGCATGTGTTCGTGCTGCTTGAGATGAGTATATTCTTCATGCACAGGTGGTGGCGCCTGCTTATCAGTATAATTATACATCATACTCATATTAGGATTAGGCTCCAATGGTGGTAATTGAGTATGGTTAGCTTCATAAGAGTAATCAACGTTGTTCATCATATTCTTTTCAAACATCTGTGGAAACTCATTGTTTTCATAATTATCATTTACCTCTTCCTTGATTTCAGGTGTTTCTTCCATTTCTATTTTAATTTCTGGTTTTATGTCTACGTCAACAGTGAAATTACTAGCCATTGGATAGTTCATTTCATCATGTGATGGTACCGGCATAGACTGGATATGTTGGACGTATTCTTGAGCCAAAGGCATGCTCAAATCAGCAGTTGTTAGTTCTGTATATTCTGTTTTTATAACTGATTGGTCGTCGCCAGGACTATTCTCAGCGGAACATTGGGATGGACTGACGTTCGATACCTGCGTGACTCGAGGATCACAAGTCACTGGGTTCTGAGCGGAAGCGCTGACAGGTAATTGTCCCACTTGTACAACCTGAACAACGGCTTCGAATGGCTCAGGATCTATAAAATCTGGATCTGTAAGACCAAATGGGAATTTTGAGTAGTCAAGCAACCCATTGGAATGCGACATGTCTTTTTTATGTTGTTGTTTTATCAAACCATTACTCAATTCTGCCATTGTCTGCTCAAAGAAAGATCGGACTTTATTCTTTAGTACAATGCATCTAATGTTGCTTTGCATCTTGTGTATTTCGTTACATATTGTAGCATGAATAGGTTTACGCACAAGTATATTGTTACCATAACCTTCGGACAGTAAAAGCGGCTGAGTTTGTTTTACGTCCGACAGAGTCGCAGCCGAAAATTTTGTACCACATCCGTCTTCCAAATTTTGTATGACTCTGCCGGACCCCTCACCAAAACCCATATGGAAATTAGTTTCATTTGTGTCGCAAGTTTTGTAGTTTGATTCGTCATATTCAGTGTTAATTTCTTCGGCTAACGTCAGTGTCCTTGGATCAAGTGATTTATCAGCCATCTCTATATCAGTAAATAATTTCCCATCCGCTTCAGTCTCAGATTGTTCTATTTTACAAATACCTCCAATAGGCCATGCTTTTAGTAGCTGATGCACATCTATATGTTCTTTATGAAAAGGTCGTGAATAAGAAAATTTTACGGAGCTGCAGTAATCCAGAAGTCGCTTGAACTCCTTGCTGTACGCAGAGTCACCCATTGTTGTGATGGTGATTTTCGGGTAGTCTATATTTTTTCCTTTTCTATACTTTTTCTCATACAGCTTCACATCATTCATCTCAGCCTTACGCTTCAAGCTCTTCGTTTTATTCCCATTAAAAACGTAATCAAAATGTAGGCCATTTGGATATTTCTTGGAGTACGATACCATAGGAACATTTAATTTGATGTCTATTTCTTCAATTTGACCATGTAAGCCAATTTGTTGAGTTATCAATACACTATGATGTTTATTGCTATCCTCATAATTCATCATGAGGTTCGATAGTGAACTCGGGGTGTTATCGAGCGTTTTCACTGTCTTATCTTTGTTTTGAATAGGAGCCACTTCTTGGCTTTCTAATTTGCTTAAGTCTGCAGGGTCTCCATTTGTAGATTTATTCAATTGATTTGATGCATTTGCGATAACTGTCTGTGCAATGTCATCATCGAGGATTTCTTCATTATGCATATCAACGATTTCTTCTATCAAGCAATTGTTGTCGTCAACCAAAACAATATGACATACTTGGTTGTGATTCAAAGCATCTTCATCTAAGTTTTCCTTTTGGTAACATTCATCATTTAATCCTATTTCATTAAGTACTTTATTTTCTTTTTGGGTTGCATCTGTTTCTGATGCAAGACAATCATTTTCACTATTGTCAGAATCTATTACTTTAAGTACTGTGACGACTTCATCATCATCATCATCATCAATGGAAGGGTACGCATTGATTATTTTTTCTTCAGTTGGTAATTCGTTAGGTTCTGCGCCAATTTCCAAAACTTGAAGCTGGTTACTTTGTAGAACATCAGTAGTGTCTGTTTTTTCTGGTGTAACATTAGGAGCGCCTGGCGAACCATAAGAATGATCCCTAACTGGGGTTCTTGTCCCTTCCGGTTCAGTACCTTCGAAAATATTTCGCAGATATGATCGTATTTTCATTAAATTGTCTTCCCGGGTTTCTTGGGATTCTTCTAAGGCTAAAATGTTCCTTTTTTCTTCGATTTCTGTGTTTACATCCTTTGTATCCATATCTCCACAAATCTTTTGCAGCGTCGTCTCTATTTGCATTAGCGTTAAATTCTCGTCTTCCAAACTATTTGATTCTGATGCTTGGGTCGGCCTACTAACTTCCTCTTCAACTTCATCATCTGCATATTCGAAAATGCTTCGCAGGTTTCTTTCCACTTCTTTTAATTTTGCATCGATATCTTCTGCAATATTTTCCACATTCGGTTGTGATCTTGTTGTGTTAACTTTGTCCTCGCTTTCTGTATGATCGTGTGTTGGTGTGTCGTTGGTATCTACTTTTTCTGTTCTTTTATCTTCACAGACACCTCCTGATATCGATTCAAGTTGCTCCACTATGGTCTCGTCAGCGCGGGTCTTATTTGCTAATGCTGTTTTCTGTGGAGCTTCAAATTCGTTTATAGTCTCTAGTGAATTTGTAACGACACTTTCGATAATAGTTTCAATTTCGTATGGCTCGGAAGCTTTGTCATCGACTTGAATGTCTTTCGATTTTGCAAAACTAATTTCAGGGTATTCCGTAGCTCTTTGCTCGGAAGCATCGTTTCCGATTTCAATCTCTTGCATGGCATTTTCTGTTATCTTTTCACTGACTGCTTGATGTGGGTCTAATACTATATCAGATTGCTTGTAAAGGGTTTGAGTAGTCATAGCATGATCTACTAAACTTTTATTGTCATCATTCTTCATATCTGTCTCTGCAAAATTATTGATAACACTACCTTTTTCATTCATGGATGCAACTGATTGTGAATTTATTTCAGGGTCTTTGGACGATAAAATTGACTCATCATTTGGTGTCCCTTCTAAGTGATTTTTGGACTTATCTTCCATTAAACTATTTCCTGATTTCGGGTCTTCTTCGTCATTTTCGTCACAGTTGACAGTGATCTTTTCAGAATCTGAGATAGTTTCATTATGCAGTTCAGGAGTGTCGTCAGAAATAGAAATTATTTTACTGAACATAATGTCAGTGTCTTTACAGCTTATTTCCTTGCTTTGAGAAACATCTTCCGTTTTGTTACATTCTGAAAACAACTCATGCGTGGTTTCACTTGTCATTGTCTTATCATTAACAACTTCATATTTGTCTTTAGTTTCAGTTATAGTACTAGCCTCTTTAAGTTCTGAATAACTATCACAAAATTGAAACTGTTCCTTATGATTATCAATATAAAATTCAGACTGTAGTTCATCGTGCAATATAGAAATACTGGCAGTGTCTTCACTAAAACTTTCTGCATAGGTAGTTGAAGAGCCCACTTCTATGGTTTGTTCTTGTAATTCATCCAGCATCTTGGAGCTTGCGCACGACGAATCTTTATTTGTTTCATTAGCTGTTTCTCTTTTATCCAACTTATGTTCTGATGCTTCCATTATAAGAGGACTGTAGTTAGTTTGATTCTCTGTCTCGCAATCAATATCTTCATTAAAAACGAGTTCAGTATCCTTGACATTGATTTCTTCATCTAACACTTGTTTCTTAGAATTTATTGAAATTCTTGAGGTGTTGCTATATTTTGATATTTTGTTGTTAGTCTGTATAATTTCTAGAGATTTTCTTTTGAGGTTTGATGCCGAACTTTTACGATGTGGTTTAATGTCCTGTCTGGCAGCTGTAATTCGATTTAGAATAAGGTCGTTTTGGAAAAGGTTTAACACCAAGGACTTTAGGGTCATTACACTCTCTATAATTGTTGTAGCATTGTTAGAATCAATGTGGACATTCGATTTTTCATCAACATTACTTAGATTTTGGTTCATGTGCCAGTAACTCTTCTTTGTTAAAAACCATTCAGCGTCACATGTCGATCTTTCATAGATCTCAGCTTTTTCAGATTTTCTATGATCACTATCGTACAAAGCGGCAATTGTGTCATATGCTGCCATAACTGGCGAATGTTCTTGAGTAATTTGATTAGCGGTTTGTTGAGCATCAAGTATGTCATAATCGGTAAGAATAGACAACGATTCACAACGCTTCAGATTAGTTGAGTCCGCTGCCTCTTCAGTAGTACGATAGTCTGTAATAATGTCATTTTCAGCATACCCAATTTCTTTGGATGGTTCTTTATTTTCAATATCTTTATCACAGCGAACTAATTTAATAAAACATTCTTTAATTAATTTCAGGTTTTCGTATTTTCTTATGAGATCGTCACACTTCGGTACCTTTACAAAACATTCCCGTGTTTTAGGTAAATGAATAGGAGAAGATTTATTGCTATCTGAAGGCCCACTTTCAAAAACTTGAGGCGAGTCAAACAACGAAAAGAATATGTCGTTTGTATTTGCTGGAGTTTCAACAGGTTCTTCTAGATTAGGTTCGTTTGGCGGTGTAGAATTGTCAGCCAAATCTAAACCTAGTTCTTTAAACAATAGGTTTCTAAATTCATTTATCTTTTCTTCTACTGGTTTTGAGGTATCATTAATTTCGGTTGATTTGTCTTCCTCACAGGTATTGTTTATTGGCTCTGTTCGTTCTATAGGTGGCATCAGCCCTGTGATAGTTTCATGCTCGTCACTGGATGAATCGTCAATCTCTATTATCTCTATTGGTTCTTTTAACACAGTCGGAGGTGCAACATTAGCTTGATTTCTTAGTCTAATGTTTTGATTTCGTATAATCACACTGGGTCGCAAAGCATGATGCAGGATACGTCGTGGTCTGACTTCAGGATTCGATGCGCGTCGCAGGTCAGTCTTCTCAGTCTTTCTTATATCAGGCTCGAGTGTATTCTGAAGGTCAATTACACGACCTGGTCTACTTTCAGGTTTAGAAACTTGTGTTTTGGGTTTAGAATCAGATTGTGGGCCGACTGTCAAAATTGAACGTCCTTCAAATGTTAAAACAGGTTTAGAAGTCGCTGGTGCTTGCTTCTCAGACGTATCTGCTGTAATAACTGGTGACATTTCAGATTTTGAAGCTGGTTGCATATCAAGCTTAGAAACCGGTAGTACTTTGAGCCCGGACCCAGTGTGATTTTTAGATCTGGACAAGTGCATGTTAGTAACTGGCAGGGTATCTGAATTTGAGCCTGATTGCGTTCCTGGATTACTAACTTGTGGTTCTTTGGGGTTAGACATTAGTTGATCATCAAGCTTAGTAACAGACACTGTCCGTTCCGCGGGTTTCGATCCCAAAAGAACACCGGGCTTGAATCCGTGCACTTTAGACTTTGACGCTGTCTGCTCTTCGGCCTTGGAGAGAGAGACAAGCTCATCGCCCATTGGAACTGTTGGTTGTAAAGATTGTGACCCTAACCGCAATTCCAGCTTGGAGCCTAGTTGCACCTTACGGACCACAGGAACTGGTTGCACTTCAGATTCGCTAATAAGCGCAGGTACAGGTTGGAGCAATGACTGTTTATCTGTCTTAGATACTGATCTAGTCACAGTCTGTTTTTGTATCGTTTGCTTTACAGGTGGACATATTAACACATTCGAGAGAATTATTGGTCGATTTTTTGGTTTTGTAGCTGGTGGCAAATCAGGTTCAGATACCAAAGGCAGATTAGGCTTCGTAACTGGTTCTGTATCAGATTGAACTTCGGGCACACTCATCGGTTGCACGTCAATAGCAGCAAGTGAGGTATCAGCTTCAAATGCAGGTGGAATGATATCCAGTGTAGATTGAGACATAGGTGAAAAAATTATGTCTTCATAAACAGATTCTGCAAGAGGATCCACAACTTCTGTAACTGTATTTGTCTGCACAATTTCTTTCGTCATATCACTCTGGCTGCTTGAAAGACTAGACAGATTATCTTTTGTTAGTTTTACTGAACACACTTTGTCTAAAACTTTTTGATGCTTTTCCAATAAGTTTTTATCTATGTTTTTTACATTGTACTTGCCATATTGCGTTTGTATCGATTGGGTTTCTTCGTCGGAGTCACTAAGCAAATCTATTGTTTCAACCACATTAGCAGGTAGATCAGACGACGCTAAGCTAATTTCCTGTATTTTAGAATCTACCACTATATCAGGTTGGATTTTGGAAGCTGTCGAGAGTTGTTTTATATTCAAAGTGTATCGCTTTCTGTGAGATACGTTGCTCAATAATACTTGTTTTAGTGCCGGGTCCGAAAACAGCGTATTGATGTCAAGATTTGTTTGACCATGGACCGTCGCCTTAAATATTTTACCGCAGGGTAGCTTAATCCGCACGACTTTCTTTAAAGGATCACCTGTATTTAAATGAGGTAAGTCTTCGATTATAATAGAATCCATAAAAGATTGTGATACATCATCGTTTATTGAAGATTTCCTCTTCTCCATGCCGTTGGAACCGCCATTTTTATTTGGTCCCTTGGTCTGGGCGGCTTCTTTAATGTTATTTGAAGCCAGTTCATCATCGTCATCTTCATCAATGCAAATTACATCGTCAACATTGTCTTCCATTACTTTTTGAGTCTTAAATTTATTGTTGTCAACATTTACGGGATCGCTTGTTTTGTTTGTGACTTGTACTTCCACTGGACGAGTTTCAGTTTCAACTCTAGTTGGAAGTTCAGAAAGCGAACTTGTGCAAGATTCCTCTGTGTTATACATTATTTCTTTACAAGCTAAACGTATGTGTTGTTTGTCTGCTGTATCTTTGATGCTATCTTCTAATTTCTTCACGTAACTTTCAATTTCATCAACAACGTCAGGATCTGTTATTAATTGTTTTATGTTTGCATCGGTTAAATTAGCTTCCGTAGTGTCCGTCACTAGAGGGTCGGCGACCTCTTTGTTTAATACCGTGTCATTATTGTCGTCAACATTTTTCTCAGGAGTAACTTCAGTTGTCTCCGTGCCATCAGCCGGAGGCCGTAATAGCAGGCTTAGCGAGTCCTCATTGTCCAGAATACTCGGGCTCGTACAATTATTAACAACAGTATCGCTTTCAACGCTTTCCAAAATTTCATCCACGTTAGGAATTTCAACTAAGGATGGCACAGGCTGGTCTGGGGATATTACTTTAAGAATTTTAGAAGTTACTATTTGATCCTCAAGATCCATCATCACATCGCGTTTGTTTGGTATTTCTGCTTCCTGAATCAAATCAGGTTTAGTTTTAATACTAAGTTTTAGCTTCGCGTTTCTTTTAGGCTGGACTTTAGCCGCTTTCTTCTTTACTTCTGCTTTCTTAATAGTTTTATTAAGTGTCTTTTTAGGGGCTGGTTTCTTCGGTGCTTTGAGTTTATTCGTAATTCCTCCAGTTGTCTCCATAATCTTACTAACAGACGGAGTAGGTTTTAGTCTAACTTTAGATTTCTTAGGCACCGATACTTTCTTGGCAGTAATTGAATCTAAGCTGACTTCCTTGTTGTTAGAAGACGATCGTAATACAATACGCCGTGGTGTCTTATCTTTATTTTCTTTACATTTTTTATTAAGATTTACAGGCTTTTCAACTTTCAACACTTGAGGTACAAACGTATTTTGTATGTTTTGCACTTTAAGGTTCACCAAAGCCCCTAGTTTTATAGCTTGAATTGTATTGTCAATTTTAGTGCCAGTCGGAATATTCTTTTCATTATTTATTTCTTGGGTGACAGTTGGTACTATTTTAATTGCGATAATCGGAGCATACGTCAATGGAATTGCTTTTTTATCGCTTCGGTGAGTAATATTTCGATTTAGTATAGACATGCGTTTCTTTTGCAGTCTTTCTTGGTCTTTTAATACTTCATTGACCATGCCGCAATTCGCCTTTGATTGACTTCTGGTCTTTTGTTCTGTTTTCTCGGTTACTTTCTGTTTCTCCTGCACCTCAGACAGGACTTTCCTTTCAGAAATATTCTTATTAGAATTAATATCAACTTTTTCTTTATCGTTTTTAGAAGTAATGTCACCATTCACATGGTCTACTGAATTAGGTTTAAGTTCCGACTTATCGTTTTTAGCATCATTAGCAGTATTGTTTGGAACTTCATTTCTTATTTCTTCTCTTTTAGTGGTAGTCTGGTTACAATCAGGTTTATTAACCGTCGTCGGCAGTTTCACTGTAGCATTTCCTATAATAACTGGATTTACCGCTGGAGCAGCAAATTGAGTAGTCTGATAAATAGACATATTTGACTGATTATTAATAGCTACGTATGTATTATGGGCTGGAGCAGCTGTGCGGATAGGATTTTGAATAGTGCAAGGTTGATACACAACGTCTGATCCGATAAGAACAACGTTTTTTAAAGTAGTCTGCCGCGGTACTCCAGCTATAAATGTGTTTGACTGATCTTTTGCTCGTAACTGATCAGTTTTGATATTAAGGCTTTGTTTATTAATCTTTTTCGTTGAAGTATTGCCACTTTTGGGTAGCTGTGGAACAGTCAATGATGGAACATTTGGAACATTAACATTTTTCGTCACACATTTCGGGTCGATAAATCCCGGAGTATGCAGTTTGGGAGGATCAAAGGCAGCCTTCGGGATATCACATTCTTTTGGATCGGTTTTCTTATGCACTGAGACATTATTAACCGCTGATGAATTAGAGCGCCTTTCTTCTCGCACTACGGGAACGGAAACATTTCTCATATTGAAAGGCTTTTCTTTTAAGCCTTGCATGGGAGTTCCATAACTCTCCTCATCTGATGATAATTCGCCAATTTCTTGTCGTAAATCATCGTCCATCAATTCCTCAAGGAGATCATAATCTGAATTTGGTATACCCGAGATAAAAGGGTCGTCCTGTTTAAAATATGTAGTAGTAAATGGTTTCTCATTATTTTTTAACGGTATTTTCTTATATAAGTCCGCCTGGTCTTTTGCCGAATGCATTGACCTTTTATCAGTTAGAATTTGAGGTTTCGGCATTTCGGACTGGGTCGATTTCTTATACACGTCTGCTTCGTCTTTTGCCGCATGCATTGACTTTTTATCAATTTGAATTTGCGGTTTCCGGATTTCGGAACTGACTTCTGTAGTATTTGTGTTTATAGAAGACTTTTGAACATTTTTAGGCGGGTTCTTTTTACTTTTATTGGTTTTAATAACTGTTTCCGAGTTTGATCGGCTCAATGTAGGCGGGGGTGGGCTCTTTTTTGGTTCAGCATTTACTACCGAATTTGCTTGACCTTTAGAAATCACATTTATCATTTTAATTTTACTCTCTCCAGGTGTGTTTGTCTTAACTATCCTTTGATTTCGCAAACTATCTGAAATTGTCTTTTTATAGGTGTCTTTGTTCAATGCCATGTCGAGAGCGTTTGGCCCTCTGCTAGGGGTCTTATGTGACAAAATGGCGTCCATAACTTTCTCCCAATCAGTTTCTTTACTCTCATTAGGTTTAGCTGTTTCAGGTTTGTGCTTACTTTTGCTCTCATTGCTACTAAAAAGTTCAATCTTATGTGTCTTCGGGTCTACAGTTTTAGGAAAGTTATATTCAGTCTTAACCATGTTTATAGGTTTTGTTTGTGGTTTAGGATCACAATTATTGAGGTTTGATGGCTTTATACTTGGACTAGGTTTAGTAACTTGTTTGATGGAAACATTGCTTACAGTAATATTAGGAGTTTCTGAAATCTTGTTCTTTAATGGCGACTGACTAGTACAGGGATTAGAATAGCTTGATGGCGTGGGGCATGTAATTGTCTGTGGGGGAGGAACTCTCTCTTTGATACATGGCCTTTGTTGATTAAGTTTGGATTGCTGACGCAAAAGAAGAACTAATTCTTCTTGATCTTTTTCTGTTAAGGCTGGCATTACATTTGGTGTTGGGGGATCCGATTGAGATTCCAATTTACTATTTTTGTTATGAACCTCAGGTTTAGACTTTGTATTAGTATTAGACAGTATATTCGCCATCAAGGGATTCAGTTTCGAAATACTTTGCTTTGGTTTATCAACCTTCCTTGCTAGATTAAGACTGTTGTCATGTTGCTGATATGTTTGTCTTTCGTGTCTCGACTCATTTTTTAGTGATAAATATTTTTCTTTCGCCTTTCTCTGTTCAATTACAATCCGATTTATTTCAGCATCATTCGAGCGATTTTCAAGCGATTTACTCTGATATTCTATTAGGGCTTCGACGACAGGATTAACACCGTTCAGTTTTGAGTCTATTTTATTTTTATGTAAATAACTGAGGCGCGAAAACGTGTTTAATAGGTTATCAGATTTCTTTTGGATTTGTTTGGCACTTTGGGGAGATGATTTGTGAGCAGGCAGTACTGGAGTGACCCTGCTCAATGGTTTAATGTCTTTCTTGCACGAAGTGGATTTACTTGGATCTACGCCCGCTCCTGCATTAATAGACTCCTGGAGTTCTTTGAGAAACACGTGAAAGTTTTTTTGATTATTTTTTTGTTTTTGTTGTATAGGAGGTCGTATAGCTTTTGTGTCTATTGTGGGCCTGTGCGCATCTGGAGGGAATTTCTGTACATTTGGGCTTGGGAACCGACTCCCACTTGGCTGAGAATTATTTAACTGAGTTGTCTTAGGAGTGCAAGGTAAAACAGGTCTTGCTATTCCAAAAGTTTTGGAACTTAGTAAGTTGTTAACTTCATTCTTCAGATTTGTTAGTTGCGCCGACTGGTTCTGATTAATGAAGATTTTTGGCGGGTCTTGGATATTTTGAGGTTTCGGAGAGACATGAGCTGGTGATAGTGGCACAGGCGTCGGAGGCGAAGGAGTTATAACTGGTGTATCAGTCTCTTTCGTATATGAGTAAGTATGTACTACATTAGGTTGCAGGTTGAGTCTTGGTTCCATATCAGGTAATGACTTCTGCCGCCTGTAATGTAGCAGTTTACTTAAACTTTCCTTCACAGATATATTGCTTGGACTGAAAGTAGAAGTCAAACTACTTGGAGAACTGGTTCTAGATTTTGGTTTTTCCTGGACATTGGTCTTAGTCTTAGCTGGGTCGATTGTTGGTGTATTCGGATTGATTCCAACTGTTGGTATAGTCGTTGCATTATTTATTGGTGGTTCTATTTTCTTGACTTGATTCTTATCTGGTGATTTTAGTTCATCCATAGAAAATAGGCCATCAAAGAGAACATCAGTTTCGTTGGTTTCCGAGATACCCGAGTGGAGTGAGTGCTTGCCTTGGCTGTCGTAGTCACTGTCGCTGACTGAGGGCACCTTGGCAGGCCGCACGATCTCTGGTTTCGGGTCAGGAATCTTAGTCACTTTCATCCCAATTAAATTTGACAAAGAAGATGGTTTCGCTGGAACCTGCTGCATCTTTGCCGCCTTTTCTTTCTTCTTCTTCTCTCGTTTTTCTTTCTTTTTAAGCTCTTTCTTTACTTCTGTGCTTTGGTTTGCTTCTGGTTCCGTTACCTCTAAAGGATCTTTGGGTTTCGCTTTAGATTTCGATTGTTTGCGTTCTTTACTTCTTTCTTTGCTGTGGGGTCGTTCTTTCTTCTTTTCTATTCTCTTGGCTTCAGCTACAATGCTGAGAGGGTCGGAATCGTCCTCTGAAGAGAGGAGCTTTTTGGTTTTTCTTTGTATTTTCTTGGTTCGTCTTGGGCTGTCCTCAACATCAGTAGACCGCGCACTCTCTGTTTTTTCTAAGTCCTCAGCATCTTGCCAAATTTCTTCTGGTTCTTGATATTGTTCTACGAGATGCTCGTAGCCTTTTGAAAAAATATTTTATTGTTTTATTAACAAAACTATTTTGTCTAAGTTAGAAGTTAAAAATCTGTTAATAAAGAAATGTTAATCAGTCCAATGAAAACTTATTAGGAACATAGTAATATGTAATTACATTATTGATGAGTATAATATGTATTTCTCAGGCTCCAAAATGGCGTCCTTACCTTTCTCAATCCCATAGTACATGTCATTGTCGTCGTCCTCCTCCTCAGGCAGATGTTGGAACTGGCTCGGGTCCAGGTTCAAATACTTCAGTTCCGTGGTAAGCGCACGGGTACCAAACTTCGTACGCTCCATGTACGCTCGACAGTTTTCTAACAATTTCTCCCTGAAATATTAAAATATTGTGATTTGTGAGAAGATATTGGTGTTTTCTGGACAAAAAGTACATGTAGCAAGTTTAATTGAACTTAAAGAGATGTTGTTAAATGAATATAAGTGAAAAATAAAAGTAGAGAAAGTGCCAAATGCGTATTTTTAGACCATATTCACAAGAATGAATGAATATACATTATTGTAAATCATCGCGACATCGCTTAATATTGTAGTCATTATAGGTGAAACCACTTGCACGGGGCAAATATGTTTAAAATGTTAGCTATATTACACAGTGAGGTTATGGATCAAGCGCAATAAAATAGCGCGACCCTGGCTTGTAACGAACGGGGGTTGTTTTTATTTAGTAATAGTAAAACACACAATTTGGATACAGAAGTGATTCGATGATTTTCCAATCAAAAAATAAAAGAGCTTTTTTAACATACCTGTCCATATCCCATGAAAGTGTTTTCAGTCTAGGTCCAGACAACAGTACTGCAATATCAGTGCAAAGCTCCGGACTTATCCCCAGGGCTTCGGCCTCACTGAATATTGCGGTAGACAGAACATTGGCCTGATTCTTCGTGTGTTTCAGATTCAATGTCTCTGATGTTTTCACAAAGTTCGTTTGCGAACGAGAATCACTAGCCCAACTACCGAATTCAGATGTCGGTTCATTTTTCGTTTCGTGAATATCCTGGAATCGGGAAAATATACATGTTATTATAATATTTTTAGTGATGTGTGTAAAACTTGAAATTATTTAAAGTTATAGACAATAACTTGTATAAATTGATGTTTTTCAACTTATTTTGTGGATGACTTATAGAAAGAAGATTGTTAGTGCGACGGAAGAATGTCAAGAATTATGACACTGAAGTGGAATGTTATTTGCATTTCGTCTGGTGAGAAAACGGGATTTCCAATTCACTTTTGGACTCCGGAAATTGCAGTGCAAGCAAACTACTTTTACTACAGGGTTTATAACGCTTTAGTGACAGTGTTGCAGGTACACCGCGGTTACAGTGTCCGCTTGCCATGAGCTTAGTTAAGTTGCTACCAGTAGCTATCCATTATTTGGCCGTACTGAAACACCGTAGGTGCGGTAGCCCTTCAGTTTCTAATGGCACTGGCACTAGTCGATAGTTAGTTAAGTGAGAGACAGCGCGTATAAATATTAAAATGTAAACTTTTGTTTTACGATATATCTAACAATATTATTTTAGAAATGGATATACACATGCTACAGCACGAATGGGCTATATCATAACCTCTAAGAAAACTGGCATGTAACAACTTTTGCTAGTGTTTCGCTGTGTGTGCGAGGTAACTATAAGCTTATACTTCTCTAATTCTCTCACTCATGGAATCTTCAACTCACAAAGACCGACTAACTGCTTTACGCGTTTTTTTTGCTGGTATCGAGTGCTTAAGATTAGAACCAAAAGAAATATAGCAAATAACAGGAAGGACATACCCTGGCGGGCGGCGGGGGCGGCGTGGCCCGGCTGACGCGGTCGTAGAGCTGCGGCGAGGGGTGCACGGAGAAGGCGGTGAGGGCGCACTCAGCCCGCAGGCGGGCGCTGGGCGCCAGCAGCGCGCCCAGCTGCGTGAACCAACCCGCCAGCGTCTGCTCCGCGCCGCGCGCCTCCGCCTCCTGACGGGACACATTCGTTACACTCAAAATCAAAGTCATATCTAATCGATTAATTTTAAATCGACCACAACAGGCACCTTTGTGTCCTATGTCCAGCAGTGGACGAAACCAGGCTGATGATTATGATGAGGCACTTTTGAATGTTAAACAAAACATAATATTTTCAAATCTAGCTTTATGCGTGACAGTCTATTCGCCTGTCCTCTAGAAAAGCCATTTGCTTGTTCGAGTCATTTGAGTGTAGATTTCTATGAAGAAGTATGAGCAAGAAACTCCATGGTTACTCTTTTATGATGATTAGTATGGAAAGAAGAATATGAATAGTATGGTTGATGATGTAACTTACATCATCGACCATACTATTCATATTCTTCTTTTGTTCTGCAGCATATGCCGTTAAAAAAATTAGAAATTTAACAGATGTAGATACAGCGCGGTTAGTTTATTTTAGTTATGTCCACAGCATCATGTCATACGGTATTTTGTTGTGGGGGAATGCTGCTGACATTCAGTCTATTTTTGTTCTGCAGAAAAGGGCTATTCGATCAATCTATAATCTTAGTCCGAGGCATTCGCTCAGAGAATTATTTAAGGAAACTAAGATAATGACGGTTGCCTCACAATATATTTATGAAAATGTAATTCACGCTCATAAAAACAAAAGCTTATTTAAGAAGCATAGTGATATACATAATATTAACACGAGGGGGAAAAACAAATATGTTGTCCCTGCCTCCAGGCTTCAGAAAATAACTAGTTCGTTTAGATGTCAATTTATTTATTTATTTATTTATTTATTTAAACTTTATGCAACAAAACATTACATAGGCGGACTTAATGCCGTAGGCATTCTCACCAGTCAACCTTAGGGTGATGCAGAGAGAGTATGGTAGGTGCAACAAGAAGAGAACTTTGAGACGATAAAAAGATTTAAAAATAATAAGAACACTAAAATAAATATATATATATGTAGAATATTATAATAATACTGGTATATGGTGGAAGATAAATAAAAAAAAATACTCAATACATACTCTATATACTTACATAACTAGTATACATATATATATATATATATATTTATATATATATGAATAATATTATACACAGTGAATACATAACATAAGAGTCAATGTATACGCTTTTACAATAAAATTCCTAGCGATATTCAAAATTTGAGCCTCAATAAATTTAAAAGTGTAATAAAGGCTAAACTTTGCTGTAAAGCATTTTATAAAATAAAAGACTACTTAGAGGATAGTCAGGCATGGGAATGAGCCGCTGTAATGTCTGCACAGGTCATGTTGACATGTTTGTAACATAAGTTCTTCTTCTTCTTCTTTTTGTTTATGGCTCCTTCGTCATTCGAAGATTTTGCCAACTTCGAGGTAGGAAATGACACTGTGATCGGTGTAAAAAAAAAACGAAAGTAATGTAGGTAACTAATGACCGGTAATCAGTGATGTTTGTAGTGCTGGAAAAGGACAAAACAATTTGTTAGTTTTAACGACACAAGGGTTAAGACACAAAACGAAGGGGAGTGGAAAGTAGATGTTTAGGTTAAAACTAAATGAAGAATAAGGAAAGGGAATATGTTATAATAAGGAAAATGTAAAAGACTATGTACAAAGACAAGTGTTAAAGTCGGATGTGATTTATATTGATAAATTTGTATAGGATCTTTACCATGGGGGAATGGACTAGGGTTAATAGGAATGGGATATTTATTGGACGGGGGATATCATTAGGGAGGAGATCATAAAGAGGGGTGATCAGGCGAGGACATGAAAAAAATAAGTGTTCCAGAGTACCCTCTTCCAAACCACATTCACAGATAGAATGATCTCTTACTCTGATTTTAGCTAGAAAGACAGGTGAGCATACAAAACCTAGCCTTAACCGAATGATGACAGAGGTAGTTAATTTGTCAAGGTGTTTGTATTTGCCAAACCAGGTTTTATGGGGAATAGACGGTTGGATAGTGCCGAAGAATTTGCCTTTGACTTTTCGTGTCTTTTGCCAAAGGGAATCCCAACTCTTCGTCATAGCGGGTTTGGCAGTACAACACAGATCCCGAGGAAAACAAATTTTGAGGTAAGAGTCCACACCGCAGTGAATTGCTGCCTTGGCAAGCGAGTCAGCGTTATCATTGCCCACAATTCCTGAGTGACTAGGGATCCAAGCAAGAACAACTTGTATACCTGACGTGTGGCATTTATATAAAAGCTGCTTGATCTGGAGGATTAGAGGGAAATTATAACGAGAGCGAAAAGGGGATTTAACAAGGTCCTGCAAACAACTTAAAGAGTCCGAAAGAATTAAAGTTTTGTTTAGACTGTGGGATTCCGCATATTTGACCGCTTCTAATAAAGCGATTGCTTCCCCAGAAAAAATAGAGGACTGAGAAGAAACTTTAAAATTTAAAATAATTTTATATTTTGGTATCCAAACAGCAGCACCCACAATACTGTCTTCTGAAATTTTGGACGCGTCTGTAAACATAGTGAGCCAATCTGGCCAGTCCTCCGTTAAAATCTTATTTAACTTGTTATTGGCACCGGGGTCGTTTTTGCAAATGCCAAGACTAAAAATAACCTTTGGTTGAAAAATCAGTGATTCGAAACTAACTTCAAAAAGCGGGTTGAAATTAGACTGGCATAAAGAGATGGGCAAGTCCTGGGTTGATCGGTAACTATTAACAAGAAGAGGGGGATCTTTGTGGGACCAGTAGCGGGAAGACTGGACTAGTTCACAAAGAGTTTGTAAGAGGGGAAGAAGGGGGTGGGATTTGATTTGGATGACTTTGAAAAAAAATCTGTCTGCGAGGAATTGTCTGCGTAAGGAAAGAGGAGGATCCAGGCATTCAACCTGTAGGGCATTTGAGGGAGAGCATTTCATGGCACCTGTTATGATTCGAAGGCATTTGGCTTGAATTTTGTCCAATTTATACATAGCGATTTTGTTGCATGGCTCCAAAAGAAAGCTGCCATAGTCGAAATGACTTCGCACTATGGCATTATATAAAATTTTTTGGGTGGCAGGGTGAGCGCCCCAGCGAACCCCCGAGAGAGCACGTAAGACATTCACGCCCTTTTCGCATTTTTTACTAATGTAATCGAGATGATGGAGGCCAGATAATTTTGGGTCCAGAATTATGCCAAGGAATTTAACTTTGTCACAGATCAAAATGGTTTCATCTTCAATATATAGATTAATAGGGGGGATGTTACGTTTACGTGAAAATACTACAGCGTTACATTTGGGGACAGATAGGGATAGGCCATGATCATTTAACCATTGGTTTAGATAGAACAAAGCAGAATTCAAGCGGGAAGAAGCCTCTGTAAGAGAGGACGAACTGAAATAAAGAGAAATGTCATCTGCGTATTGAAGGATTTTACAGAAACAGCTAATTGAGGATTCTAAGTCGTGGGTATAAACATTATAAAGGAGAGGGCTTAAGACCGAACCCTGGGGTAGGCCTTTCCAGACTAAGCGGGGTGAAGAGATGGAATTTTGATGTCGAATTGATATATAACGAGACATTAGCAAGCTGCAAGTGATGTTAACCAGCCTCACAGGGACACTCAGCTGATGCATTTTCTGCCTGAGTATTGGAAGTTGGACATTATCGTAAGCTGACGTTATATCAAGGAAAACGCCCAGGACGCTTTCGTTTTGAGAGAAGGCAATTCGAACATCAGAAGTGAAGATGCTCAGACTGTCTAGGGTACCCCTTCCTCTTCGGAACCCAAATTGGGAAGCGGAAAGTATGCCCTTGGACTCTAAAAACCATTCCAACCTGTTCTTTATAAGGTTCTCCGCGATCTTAGCTAGAACAGAAGATAAAGCGATGGGTCTGTATGAAGAAGAATCTTTTGGATCTTTGCCAGGTTTTAGGATCGGGATAACTATTTGGGATTTCCAAGATTCCGGGATGAGGCCGGAGAGGAAGAAGGAGTTGATAAGGGCAAGGAATATTTGTTTGCAAACAGGAGAGGATTTACAGATGAAGGAGTACGGGATGCCGTCTATGCCCGGGGCTGAGTCCCGAAGATGTTCCAAAGCAAAAGACAACTCAGAGAGAGAGAATGGATCATCAAATTTATCAGAGGGAAGGGAAGGAGAGTCCAAAGAGGGAAAGCATTCTAAACTAGGGACAAAGGGGGGGGCCAACTTGTTTATGAAGTCCTCTAACCAGCAACCAGGATCGTTGGATGAGATATCTGGTGAATGGTCGTCGCAGACTCTGCGAAAAGCTTTGATTTTTTGCCAGACTAGGGAAACTGGAGAGCGAGGGGATAATGATTCGCAGAAGTTGTGCCATCCATCTTTCTTTTTCCTTGCCAATAACCTGCGGGTGTGGGCACAAGTTTTCTTGAAATTTAGGTAATTGGCCATGTTTATAGAGGACGCATATCTTTTTTCTGCCTCCTTTCGTTTTCGAACGCTGTCAGAGCATTCTGCATCCCACCATGGGGGGGAAGGGATAAATTTACGGGCGGAGTTCTTTAAGGGAATGGAAGAATCAGCCGCTCGTATTAAACAAGCGACAAAATCCTCATACAAGGCAAGGCAATTTGAGGAGTTCACCTGGGGAAAGGATTGAAGATCAGAATCTATCAGAGAAAAAAATTTATCCCAGTCTGCTTGGAGTAGGCGATATTTCTGAAGAGGATTGATGGGAGGGGTAGGAGAGTAGGAATTATGTATGGAGATTAATATTGGAAAGTGATCACTGCCATATGAGTATGGCAGGACAGACCAGGGAAGGAGACGCAAGTGAAAGATCAGGGACACTAACATTTTGAGTAGGGGAAACCCTACGTGTTGCTGAACCATCATTGAGGACACAGAGATTTAGGTCATCTAGGAGATCTAATAAAAAACTGGATGAGGGGTCATTGATGGGAGAACCCCAAAGCGTGTGACGGCAATTAAAATCACCTAACACCACCAAAGGGTTAGGGATAGCAGAGAGGATGGAGTTAAATTCAGATAGAAGGTTGGCATTAGGGTGAGGAATGTAAGCAGAAACAAAGGAAATATCCATGGCTCTGATGGCAACAACATGAAGTCCGGGAGAGTGAAGAGGAATGAGGATTTGGGAAAAGGAGATAGACCTACTGATCAGCAAGGCGCATCCCGCCCGCCCATCGTCTCTATCGTCTCGGAGACACGAGAACCCAGGGACTCTGAAGGGGGATCCAGGTCTGAGCCATGTCTCCGACACCGCAAAGAGGACAGGAGTGTAGCGGTTTATTAGATGCAGTAGGTCGTGTTTTTTTTGGCGGATGCTTCTACTGTTCCATTGAAGGATCTTGGCCATTCTTTCGGGACCAGGTTTGGAGCAATTGTTCAATAAGGACTAAGACATTGTTCGGTAGAGCGTCACTAAATTTAGAGAGAATATTAATGAGGGAGCAAAATAATAACTCGATTAGATTGTCATTAGGGGTAGGAAGAGGAGTGGAATCCGAAAACGTGGGATCTTTAAGAGCACAGCCGTTGGGCTGGGAGGAGTTGGGGGAAGAAACAATCGTCCTATGAGCTTGGACATCGTAAGACTTGCCCAGTGCGGGTCTAGATCTAGGGGAACGGAATATGGTCTTGGTATAGGATGTTTTGGAGGGAGAAGTAAATGGAGAGGAAGAAGTTGGGGGAGGAGCTGTAATTAGTTGGGAGAAATTAAGAGAAGGAGCCTGGGACATTTGGGTTTGTCGAATGTTCGCAGCAGCGTCGGAGTAGGACCGTTTAGAACGGGGAAATCTAGTAGATGCCTCACTATAGCTTAAGTTCTCTTCAGACATAACCATTTTAATGGATTTCTGTCTGGAGTGCTCGGGACAGAGATCATCTGTAGCCTTGTGGTTACCACCTTCACATAGAATACACGTAGCTTGTGAGTCGGGGACATTGCATGTATCACCAGGGTGTGGCTGGGCACATTTGAAACAGCGGGGTTTCGACCGGCATTGAGTGCGGATATGACCGAAGCGTAGGCAGTTGCGGCACTGAATTGTAGGCAGATGGTAAATTGAAACAGGGAGAGAGGCGTTGTAGCAATAGACCTTCTCTGGAAGTGTTTGCCCAGAGAAAGTCAAAACTACGGTGGAAGAAGGCGTCCAATAAATTGAGTCTTCCTTTTTATTTTTAAAATTGAGGCGTCTAGCTTTGATAACTTCCCCACAATTTTGAGGAGTTTCTATTCCCGAAACTAAGTCCTCCAAGGTCCAGTCAGTAGGAATATTCCTCACTATACCCATACGGGTTACTTGAAAGCGAGGAATCTTAGCTGTGAAATTGTTGGCGGAAAGGATATCATTATCTGCAAAGGAGTTGGCATCAATGGCAGATTTAAACTCAATAGAGAGCTTATTACGGCCTAAAGATTTGATTCCTCCTTCTGTGATTCCCTTGATGTTGTTTTTGTGGAGAAATTGCGCGAACTTTAAGACTTTTAGCGTAGAGCCAGCAGCAGGATCAGGTTCTATTTTCGACACAAAAACAGTAAAGGGTGCTCTGTCACACTCATTGTAGGAGAGCTTGGAGTTTGTTTCAAAGCCGGGCTTAGTAAAAACAGATTGAATTGAGTCAGACGGAGGTCTGTTTTTCTTAAACTCAATATTCGACTCCGAATCAGCAGGTCGTTTTAAGGAGGATTTAGTCTGCTGGCTTACACCAGAAGCTAAAGGATTATTCATTTGTATATCCGGAGGAGTTCCTCCACCCCCATCAGGGGGTTCCTCGGCACTCATTTCTCACGAAATGAGTATCACAGGAAAAAGAAATCTTAAACCTACCTTATAAATAACCCTCACCAGACAACAAAACAAAGACAACACTAATAACTAATTTGCAAAAACAGAATTTGAGGTTAAGTAAACACACCGTGTCAAGACCAAACCTCGCTGTGCAATCCGTAACATAAGTTACACTTTTATATACAATTTGACATTACGTTTATTTTTTATACAATGACATAATCACCTATTGTGACATTTTATTTTTTATTTGACATTTTTTTTTATTTATTTACTGACATTTTTATTATTTTATATTATTGTTAGTGTAAGGACCGTGTGAGACTTGCCGTGCTTTTTGATTACCAGTTATCTGCGTTCTGACAGTTTGAGTACTTGCGCGACCCACCCAAATGTTCTTTAGATCGGTATTGTTCGTCGGACAACTCAGCAGCACTAGCTATACTGGCTGCAAACTGACACTTGCGTGCCTGTCTTCAGAACGGGTCCACTTAAACTGGTGTGGTTCTTTCCTCAAAAGACCACTACAGAATGAACTTGCACGATTCTCTCACATTATGTTATTTTTACATTGTCTGGACTTGAAAAGAGACTGACCTCTGAGTTTGTTTCGGCATTTCTTCTCAGAGTAGTCAGATAGGAAATGCCGGCTTCATCTAGTTTTTCACATATAAATTGACGTGTAAAAGTGCCGTTTTATGGCCTATTTGCAAAAATAAATTCATTGTTTCATTGTTTCATTGTTTCATTATAAAACATATCTATGTTAGTTTATTAGGCTTATATCTATGGAACATTGTCACCTCAATAAAGGATCAAATTAAATTAAATATTTTTGTTGGAGTAACTATAATGATGGATGTTTGTTTCTCTTACATTGGACTACTGGACAAATCTGAATTAATTACGTACATAGATTGTAGTCCAGAACACCACATAGGCTATTTTTGTACTAGTAAACGGGCGAAGCCCTCACCAAAAAAAACAAAAGTTATGTTCATACCGGTATAACAATTAAGCCAAAAATAAACAGTATTTGTTTTATTATATTACTTATATTATATAAAACTTTTACAATTGTGATTGAAATAGACATACCTTTTCAGTCTTAAGTTTGAGCCTCTCAAGCTCGTTCATGCCAGCAGTAATCGCTCGCACATACAATTCACACACAAATGGCTTCATGTCCGGTGTGCTCTGAAAAGTTACATTTAATATTATTAGACTCACTGGGGGACCACAAGCATGACAGCCCTAGATAGGTAAACTGAGTAGCTTAGATTGTGGTTATATACAACCCTCTTACTTGATGGTAACTTATTTGGAAAACATTGTATATTGTCTTGATTTTAAATATGATTATTCAAGTCCTTTTTAATATAAAAAGAGTAAATTTTCGGGCTATCGTAACTGGCACATGGATCATGAACTGAAGCGATTTTTTTTAATATGTTACCCCACACAAAATGTTTCCATGTGTCGTAAGTGTCTTTACAAACATACAATTTCACACACACCTAACAACCAGAAAAAGTGTTGTTTCGTGTAGGAATCGAACCAGCGACACGTTGCATAACCACTGCGCAAACTGTGCAGTTTTTCCGCACCAAATAGAGATGTAAATAGCCCCATTTACATCTAAAACATCTAAACGACAACACTCGTTTAGATGTTTTCGAGGTTAGCGTTTATTGTATATTCTTCTTTAGAGAAATATTTTTTTTAATTGGGTTAAGCGAGGAGGGTATGTCGAAACAAAAATACTTTTTTCGATTTTCCCGTTATTGTGGCGGGGGTGCTAAAATGAACCGAGAGACAACGATTTAGGAAGAAGGGCGCCTCTTTTTATTTCCCGTACTGCTTAAGAGATCTGAGAAAGGACCGTCCTTTCGGTTTAGTCCTCTCGCGCCAATAGACTAGTGGCTTGCGAGTGTGGGTGGGTACCTGTGCGTCGACGGCGGCGGCGAGGGTGTGCAGATGTCGCGCGGTGTGTGCGGGCGCGGCGAGGGCGCGCGCGGCGGCCGGCAGGCGCGGGCCCAGCGCGCGCACCAGCGACCGCGCGCAGCAGTACAGCGCCGTGCGGGCCACGCCGCCGCACACCGGCACCACCATGCATCGGGTTATCACCACCTGCACCCAACACACAATTTAAGTCCAGACAGTAATGCATTACCACGAATGGCCCGGCTCGATTGGATAGGAGTGATTCCACGGGCTCACAAAAAACTGGCATGAAACAACTACATCGTTGTTTCACCATGTGAGTAAGTTTACCGGAGGCCCAATCTTCCTCATTTCCGAAGAAGGCAAGCAAACCTAAAGTCAAGTTACTCTAACTTGTTTAAATTATTATTTTTACTTCAAAATAATATTTTTCTTATTAAATTTCTAAGATTTTTATGACATTAATATATTTCTATTTTGATTTATTTTTGACATGGTTATTTTCGTTCCTTGAGTAAGACTAAATGTTCACTTATTCACAAAATTACATGCATTTTGTGTACACCTGTAAAGATTACCATATATAAATAAAAGACTTACAGTAAATCTATTAAAAAAAAACACAATTCATTACCTTACTGTGTCACAAAATATGTATTTTTTATACTAAGAAACGTCCATAACCTATTCCTTCAAAGAAAGCATTGACTCAAACTGTTGCTTCGGTCTCAAATAGAATTTTAAAGTGAAAATATCGATCGTATTGACCACGCGGGCAACGAACATGCACTGCTGAATTAATTACGAGACCCGATAGCCTTTGATACGAGAATAGCAGGATTGCCATTAAAATTTCATTCAGTCATTAGACTAGCTTAGGTGGACAATTTATAAGTTAACACTTCGTTGTACTGTAAAGAAATGCAATTAAATTTATTGGAATTTAATTGGTAAAGGATAGTATCCTGAAATGATATAAGTGCATTTACCTAACTTGCATTGCCTAACGAGCTGACCAACTACTACTATCCAACTCCGTACCACCTCAAAAAAGGTTGACAAGCATTCATGTCAGTTTTGTTCCTTGTCAAGCTATAGCTTTAAAAGCTGTCAAAGTCAAAGTCAAAATCATTTATTCCAACTAAACCATAAAAAGGTACTTTTGAAACGTCAAAACGCTGATGTTTAAAAGCCCGGGAACATTTTCTTTGTACGCCGCGGCTTCCAATATATTTCGTAAACCACAAATACTCATTTTAGTATGTATTGGTACACATAGAGAATATTAAAAATATTTTTAATAATCAATAATATTACAATGTTATTATTTTTTGCATGATGTGGTCTCCTATAATTGGAGGAGCACAAAACTATTGTATTTTATTATTGCGCATGTAATGTGAATTCTCTGTTGGAGATCCTAATAAAATAAATAAATTAATTAATTTAAAAAAAGGATATGCTCTATAAAATACTGTTTTAGGGTAAGCATAACTGTTAATTTCAGTTTTGCTGAATGTAATATTTACAACTACAAATAAAGTTTAAATATCTTATTAAAAATATTAGGACACATTACACATCTGAAAACAAATTTCCATGACAAAAAAAAATTAACAAATCAGTAATTTACTTACTAATATGTTACTTTTTTGTAATAATTTTATTCATATAAGTACCTGTGCAATCAACGTCGCAACATCTTTGGCGTTCTTCCACAGTTTTTTCTCCCGAGGCGAAGTGTCGAGCCGGCTCTGAAGCCTCTCCACCAGCTGGTAGCCGTTGCGGAGAGCCGTTTGTTTGGCCTACAACAATTAAGTTACATTTTTAATTGACTGTTTCTTTCAATTTGTAATTGGATCTCTGCTATATTTTTTCCAAGAACTTGTACCGAAAGCGTAAGGTATAGGTTAGGTCGTCAAACGAAGACACATCGCCTGATGGTAAGCAAACTTTGGACACTTGTAATACCAAAGGTATTTATTTATTATTTAGGGTCTCCAACAAAGGATATACACAAATCACGAAACAAAAATAAAAATTGGACGGCAAATACTATCACGATGGTGTACTCCTTCACGTACAGGAGACCACAGCATGCATACAAGAAATTACAATGAAGCTAACAAAATTAACAACTTTAAAATAATATTATAATAAAATAATAATATAATTAAAATAAGAAATATTCAGTAACATATATAAAGCAAACTAAATACTAAATTAGTAAATATTGAGTACAAGCGGCCCGCCCCCTTTCGCACGGGTCCAACTATCTCGCTATCTAAGGGTAAATTTTTCCTCATCTTTTCCTCTAATTTTCTAATTTTTTCTTTGATAAGAACCTTCTTCTGACAATAAGAAAAACAACAAAAAAATATTATCAAAATTGGTCCAGGCGTTGTTGAGTTATGCGCTTACCAACACATTTTGCGATCCATTTTTATATATAAAAAATGGACATCCAGTAACCTCACCCACACAGCTAAAGACAGTGTAACTGTTCTTTCATATTGTTCATGCAATTCTTTTTAAGCTTTTCCTTTTCCCATGTAATTTCCAGAACTATGTATGTACTCACCAGTTCAATACAACGCGATCGTTTGTCTCCTTTGTACAGGAGTACAAATTCCATGTCAACAAGCAGTTCCAGCACGTCTACCGTGAACCCCGCTTCTGCTTTCAGGATATCCTCGAACGTTTTCTTTGAGCCCGATTTATCTGGTGAAATTAAAAAAGAGTTTAAAGGATTTTTTTTCCTAGGAGATCTACTACAATACCTTTTTTTTTACGGGGGGAAATCCTCATGGACTTCCTCCGCCCGGGGAAAGGCTACAATACCCTGGAGGTAGTTTTGCTAGGAAAGGAAAAATCTCTGCGAAATAGCAATGTCTATTGCTTAAAATTCTTTGTTTAACAATATAAAAGACCAATTAGAACATTAGTAATGTAAATTTTAACGAAATATCGTGTAAGAGATTGTAGTAGGTTTCTACATATTCTCCAAATAAGATTGAGTCAGCACTGAGTTTTTATTCAGATTTGGCTAAATGTGAGTTTTTTCATGGAGAAAACCCCATTAGTTCTCCATAACCTAATGCAAAATCTAGTCTTGTTCGTAGTAATAGAACTTAAATAGTCAATCATTGTTTGAATAAACTAATCAAGAATCTTTCTGTAGAAAACCCAAATATAGGACTTTATCCAGTTTGTTTATAACAGGGGTTCTCAACATTGCCTTGGTCCGAGACCTCTGTTACATTATTTTTTGGCAGAGGCCATTATTTAATTATAAGTTAGGAAGAAGTTCTTGAGAAACTCCTTCCTTGTTTGGTCTCAAAAGTAAATATTTCCTTTCATATTTCTATCCAATCAAGAAACCTATTATATCCAGCATATATTATTTGTGTCCATCACTCACCCTTCAAATCGGCGATGCCATCAGCTTCAGTGTCGGAGGTGGGTGGGGCGCAGGCGCGGACCCGGTCGAGGACGGCGGAGCACAGCGCCAGCGCCAAGTCGTCGCACTTGGACGCCGCCAGCTGACGCAGCCGCGTCACGAACATCACGCCGCGCTCCTCCTTCAGCCATGCTAGTACTGGAACAATGCAAGAACCTTTATAGTTAGTTTACCTTAGAACTGTGTATCGCCTCAAATATTAATTTATTTAAGCTTTAAATGAATAAATGAAGAAGATGAGCAAAGCCGACCAACCGTTCTACGGTTTTAGCGAGACTCCAACATGACACATGATAGTAGTGTGAAATGACTAAGTTAACTTTCAAAATCTATAAACGCAGCCCACCACATGGAAGTAGTTTCATTTTAACAGTAACAGTGCCTTTTTTATTAGACAAACTTTTTAAGCTGGTTTACAATAAAGAAAAAGAAGCTCTATTCCTTTATTTCCAAAATAAATAAATTAACATAACTATACCAGGTGCCATGAATTTACGTATTTCTATTCAATACCTTAAAGAAAATCCCAAAACTATGTTCTAAAACGTCGTGTGTCGTCGTGAAGTCGTGGTGGCCCGGAGGTTAAGGGCCCGCTTCTCATGCATGAGGGTGCGGGTTCGAAACCTGGCAAGTACCAATGTGACTTTTTCCGAGTTATATGTACTTTCTATGATTATTTAGACACCACTGACATACGGTGAAGGTAAACATCGTGAGGAAACCTGGACTTATAATTTCTAATTATAAGTTTGAAATCACCAACCCGCATTGAGCAAGCGTGGTGATTAATGCTCTAACCTTCTCCGTGTGAGAAGAGGCCTTTGCTCAGCAGTGGGC